GCACGAAGCACTACAATGATTTGGCGAAGGAAATGTCTCAACTACAAGATGAAAGGTATCGCGTAATTGATCGGATGATAATGACATTCTCATGAATACAATATTTTTACTTATTTGTAATGACTATTACTTGTAGGGATTCCTTATCATCCCAGTTAGAGAAAGTACTTTCGAAAGCAGATTCTGAGCAACTAGCTCGATCTTTAGCTGAAGAACAGTGCGCGGACCTAGAAAAAGAAAAAACTATGCTAACATTAGAAATTAAAGGAATTAAGGCAAAACATACAGGAGAACTATCATCAAAAGTGGCTGAGATAGCAGAGGTATAATTCAAAGTCTACAATTGCTAACGTTGTCATGGCTTACGCATGTTGACTATATAAACAATTTTTACATAGATGGAAGAAAAGTGTAATAAAGCTAACTTAAATGTTGATCAATTAAAAACTGACAAAGACGAAATGGCTCAGCAAATAAATCAGTTGAAAGAAGGTAAAGCCTAAGATCAGTATAGTGATTTTGTTACTTATGGACTAAATTCGATTTTATCTTTCTTTTCAACGCAGAAGTAGAATCTGCAAAGGACAACAAAGATAATGATGTTTTAACGCAACAGGTAGAAAAATTAAATCAACAACTTGCTGCAGAAAAATTACTGAAAACCCAAGTAAGTATTAAATAACTGTACAACGTATACCATTATTTTATGATCTCATAATTACAATAATTAAATTTTTAGGCTGTTAGTAAGTTAGCTGAAGTATTAAATCGGAAAGATCAAAGTAAGCCAACGAATAAGAACAAACAAAGTTTCCAGAAAGTGGACAAAGAACGAAGAAAACTGAAAATGACTCTAGAAAAGGTAAAAAAATTACCAAGTGTCTATGTATACTATTATATACAATTTGTAACGATTCCTTAAATGCTTACTAGGAAACCGAAAAATATAGCCAGATGGTAGCTAGATTCCAAAGGGAAGTATCCGAGCTGCAAGCGGTAAGTTATTACTGTAATAATTATATCCATAGAAGCAAATTTCTAGTTAATGACTAAAATTGATTTCCTAAACTTGTAGCAATTAAATGAGGAAGCCCAGCAGAAATCGCGAATAAAGGTTCTAGGCATTCGTAGTATTTTACGGAACTAAACAAAAACTTAAATTATTATTCGGTGTTATATCTGTAGATGGAAGCAGATAGTAAAGATTCCGAAATTGAAAGACTTCAGGCTCAACTAAGTTTAGTCCCCGGAATTACTACGGAAGTTGCTAAGGGTAGACTTCCTGAGCTTGGTCCTGGAACTCCCATCACACAGGGTAAGAAATTGCTGTAATCTTTTGCTTTTGTCATAAATAAAGTTGATTATAAACTATTTCTTTTAGCAGAACGACTTGAGGGATGGCTTGCAATACCTAATAGAAAGAATATAAAGAAATACGGTTGGAAAAAGCAGGTAATTTGTTTATATTGCCGCTTGCTTTATTCTATTTCGTATTATGTCTGAATCGTCTAAGTCACTCTCCGTTTTATTTGCAGTATGTTGTCCTCAGTCTTAAGAAAATCTTTTTCTACGCCAGTGACATGGACAAAGCTAACTCCAATCCAGCGATGATCCTTGATGTCGAGTACATTTCTTGAATTTAGTTATCATTTACTTAATAAAAGCGATGAAATGAGACGGAGCTAATTTTTAATATTTTTACAGCAAACTGTTTCACGTTCGGCCGGTAACCCAAGGTGATGTTATCCGTGCAGACGCAAAAGACATCCCTCGCATTTTTCAAATATTATACGCTGGCGAAGGCGAACAAAGTAGAGTTGATGCTGAAGATAATTCACCTGCAGTTGGTGTAAGAAATAATTTCTTATTGAGTGAATTTTAACAGGATGCCACATCTTACATGTTCAAATTTATACAATATTTTGATTTAGGGAAGCATTGTTAGCTATATGCAACATCAGTTTATACCAATGCATTATCATACGCCAACTTCATGCGATTACTGCCAGAAACAGCTATGGAGTGTGTTTGTACCGCCTGCTGCACTAGAATGTCGAAGTAAGCTTATTTCTATAGTGTTTGTGTGATCTCCTAGATTAACAATCTACGATTTGATTATTTGGATTGAGTAGTATGTTAAAAGTTCAATCTTGCTCAATTCTCTATACAGTATAAATGTTACTGCGTATATATTACAGTGAAACTAAAAATGGATGATCATATTGCATGTGGCATTTTTGATACTGTTTCGTAAATGAAGTAAATTAGCGATTCTGCAAATATTTTGAATTGATTAATTCAAAATTATTCGAAGTTATGCGCGACAATTTACCGATCTCATAAAGAAAAAGAAATACAAATGTCTTGAACTGTGTGTTAATTATTGGAAAACTAGCTAGGACCCTGGATCTTACTAATTTCTTTATTGTATAGAATGTCACGTGAAAGGGCACAAAGAACACGTAGATAAGCAAGAGACTGTTATCAAACTGTGTAACGGTGTGTTGTAGATGGAATTACTACATCAACTACGTTTGTCCTCAGATATTATAACCTAGATTATTTTTAAATAGTAACAAGCGATACAGAGGCTGCAAAGGAACTATTAATATTGGCCGGTTCTGCAGAAGAACAGAAGAATTGGGTCTTAGCTATTTCCAACAAAATTATTAAAAAACCTGCGGCGAAGCCGTCTCCAAAGTTTGTTAATATTTGCTGTATTTCTTATACTGTTTCAAGTTATTAAATCCAAAATGTTTTCAACAGAATAAGACGATCACCCAGTCACGTAAAATCAAAACAAAAGAATCAGAAAAAAGCGGATAATTAAGTTAGTAAGTGAAATTAATTTATAGTTTTCTTTTACGATTACTTTCAGGATATAATGTAATCTGGTTAATCTTTACAGGATATTATCAATCGCCTGACATAGATATATCTTAGATTGGACTTTTACCAGGGATCAAATATCAAAAGCTGAGGGATCAGAAGCAAACATTATTAATTTTGATTCAGAAGAATGTTTTATCTACGTTTTTACTATCAATCATATGAACATCAGCTCAATCGACGAACTTCTGTTATGAAGAACATCTTTAAAATATGTATTTTATATCTGTGATACCCTAACTTCAAATCATGTAATAACATACTACTTCTTCAATTCATGGATAATAATTAATTGTAGAATATAGAATTTTAGCAGTATAATGATATTTGGATATTACGAATCGGATACTTTTGATATGATAATACAAAATAAAGCTATTTCACCACTGGTTATAATTAACGCTGTTAAGATTAGACAAATGGAGTAAATTATAACGATAATAATTTATAGGTAATGTTAACGTATCATTATTATTAGCTTATGTACATGCTGTGCACAGCGAAAGAAGAATGAATCTTTATTTGGGAATAGACACCTAGAAAAGTATAACATCGTATATTTACGATTTGTCTAATGATTTTGATAACTTCGTTGATAAAAGATATAGATTGTCAATTAGAAATGGTTAAGAAACTAAAATACACATAGTAGAATATAATTCATGTTAAAAGAAACCTTTGTTTTTGTATTAAGGTACTGTTTGCATTGTTAGGATTGACAGTGAATACATTTTTGGTGCGCATATATTAATATAACTGAGAGGTGGTGACTTAATCTACTTATTTTGTTATTTTTTGGTGTGTCTGATTTAAGTCACTCTTTTGGAAATTTTTAAGAATTTTTGTTTCCGATATGGTTCATGTTTGCATACGAATATAGGAGAAATGTTTCTACGATAATTCCTTGAATATCTAAATTCAATTTAAAACTGCAATTCTTGTTATTGCTCAATATCACTATAACATAGTACTATAAATGTTTTTAATACGGTGTACAGGAGTTACACAGACAAGAAATAAAAGTATGGTCTATCATCGCACAATCTTTATAAAATTTAAAGTAACGACTTACTAAAACGCTGCATGAGAATAAAACTTTCATCTTTAACTGATAAAAACATACTACGGTAACTATAGTAAGGATACAAGGTAGTATTTGATGCTGTCGATAAAGACGTTCTCGTTCCTTAAATAGATCGAATTATGGAAGAGTTGTTATGGTATATTACCATTTCATGTAACAAGTTGGATACAGTAATCGTATGGCAACTGTATCGACAATAATTATAATGAAACGGAGAATACTGTAAGAGGATTCAGTAATAGATTAGTAATAGAGGCGAATATTGAAATGAAAATGGCAAGCCATTTATTTAAATTTGCTAACAAGTAGCAATCAGTACTATTTCATTATTTTCATTAAACTATACCATGCACCAGGGATACAACGTTTTATATCTACGCATGTAATGCATTAAAAATGAAAGCATATTGCATTGATACAACTAGCGATATAGGTTGGATTTACAACGTAGGCAACTCACAGTCTATACAGAATGTAATGTTGTTATCCCTTTATAAATAAAGTTATCTATAACTACAGTCTAATTTCTATACAGTATATACTCTTATAAAGAAGTTTACGTGGTTACTGCGAACAGCTCAAGAAATCGATCATAATTAGTAATATAATATCTACATGCATGGGCAACAGTATTAAAATTGAAATACATTAAACAGTTTCAAATCTATCCGATATTACAGAATTACTTTGGATATCATTGCGTCCATGACAAGATGTTTTTGACAGCTTCTATGCGTAAGTAATACAGATACACTTTTGCTGAAATCCAAAATTGATAGATCAAAACGATTTAGGTTATATTTTAATACCAAATAGTAAGGTAATATCTTTCTTTATAATAATCGGTGTTCAAACACTTAAATCGCTTCAGATGAGTACTCAGATGAGATCCCATAGTAATTACTGATCCCCGAATATTCGAAGCTTGATATTGCAGATCTGATCGACATAATTATAAGAGGTCGCAGTTTGCAAAGTATCTTCAAAAGAATAATACAGCGACCAAGCGTAGAACAAATACATCAATTTATTCCGGATCCTCCAAGTTAGTCGCTATGGGAGCATCCTCCTAAAAAACATAAAATATCTCGAATCAGATTTGTCTGTTACTAAATTTCTAATTAAGAATTCATTTTAGATAATTTGCTGCAGTTTTATTGCCAGTAATACCTGTAATTTATTTAGTTGATCACTAGCTATCATCTATTACTATATATCTGTACCATCTCAATTCTAACATAGCTATAGTGCTTGATAACTCATTAAAAGATATGATCAAGCGCTCAAACAATTTCATATAAATGTAATAGGAAGATAAATTTTCATAATCTTAATTTTTAGTACCTGATTTAGCTTCTTAAACTCAACTACTTTACTGAATACATATTCTAGAACACGCTTTGCATCTCTGGATTGTGGAGGTAACATTTTGGTTACACCTAAAATATCACCGCATTCACGAATGTAATATTCCAAATCGTTGTCATTACCTATAGAAGATAGTTGAAAGAAAAAAGATAAAATAGTTTTAGACACTCTTATAATATCTCTAACTGATCGAAACGAATCCAAATTTTAATGGCTTTTATAGTCATCAACTTAGGCAATGTAATACAGGAAAATGAAAAAATTTCATACATTTATTTGTAATTTGTGCCAATCGGACGCGTTCTGATGAGAAGTAATCATCTAAATCGAATAAATCTAATGATGGTGGTGGTAGTTCACGAAATTGAGGCGGAAAGACCTGTCCAACGTCAAACATTAAATTCGTTTGGCAGTTTTAATATTTAGAACAACTATTTCCATAGGTAATATGCATTATGAAACTAACTACTTTCTGCGTCTTACTATTAGTTAATTTCATTAATTATTTAAAATGTGTATGGTATATTGCTTACCGCTGGCCGAAGGGGCGGCAATGGCGTTTCAAATTGAGGTGTAATCAAGGTTAAAGGTTCGTGTTTAACACTCAGTTCAGTGTATGCTCTGTTATTTATAGTTAACGATACATTAAAACTACTTCAAAATAAGGGGCCGAAATCAGCTCCTACATACGACTAAATTAAAGCTTAATGATATACTCGATATAAATTTGGTATAATGAGGAGGAACCTTAGCTAGAATAATTACCTAACAGCATCTGGAACAGTGGTTGTATCGAATTGAAATAAAGAGTGGTCAAACATTTGTGAGATATCACGAGGAATCTAATGAAATACGATAATGGGATGAGAAAGTTCTTGTCGAAAGACTCTAATTAAATTTGTGAGCATCAATTCATAATAGTTAGTAATCCTTTAATCAATCAATTAATCGTACACGTTCTAAATATTAAGGATAAAAATAACTGTTAACATCGACGATTGATTTATTCAATGATAATTCTTTTATGAAATATCGATCAAACGCGGGTTGATGAGATTGATTTATGCTTCATTTACTATTTATAATGAAGTCTTACACTACTCTGTCCGAAATGTTGGAATGTCAATTTGATATCTTAAGCTAAGTTATAATATTAACAACTGATGAAATTGTATCGTAACAATTATACTATAAAGCATGCTATGTTACTAGAATCAAGTAAAGATAACTAAGTGCAATGTACCATCATTTTTTTTACTTTTAACCAAAATCAATATACCTCATCGCTTTCCTGTAAGCATACACGCAGTTTTTCTGATAGCTTTGTAATATCAGGCAATGCGTGATAGTCTGTTAACTATCAACAAGAAAATACTCTTAATTCATTAAATGTTAAATACAAAACTTATATAATGAAAAGAGTAAAAATGTTCGCCATTCATTGTAATAATAGTGTTAATTTTGTTTACTTCAGGATCTTCCGCATCGATATTATTTAGCTTAATTTCATCTGTGGTAAGCCAACGCAATAGAATATCCTATATTATAAATAAAACATATATGAAGTGATGACCGAAACTGAGCAACATGCACATAACCCAACTACGAAGCAACACTATCAATTAATAAGACATATGAAATTATATTGGCATATAAAATTGTCAATAACATTACCCAAAATTTAGAATTCTCTTCTTTATCAATGTAGGTATCTGAAAAGATATGGACAGAACCAATAACCGCTAACTTTCCCTTAGATTTCTATATTGCAGCAGCAGTAACAGTTACATCATAGATAAGTTACATTTCCTAATCTTAATGCTCTAATTGCAGTTACCTAAATTTAAGTATATATTGTAGACGTAACCGTATCAGCTTTAGATTCATGCTATTCCATCGTAATGGTACACATATCTTATCACCAGTAGATAAGTAAGAGACTTAAAACAGGTTTTACTCTATTGTACACTCTCAATAATCATATAATTATCATATATTATATATCTCTGCGTAATCGTATGTAAAGAGCAGTTCTTGTTGTCAGCGCCTTGTGTAGTGTAATATTATCAATAAAGCTGAGCCTTCAATTATCAAACACGAAACCGTACTCGCTTTACTGAAGACCCACCCACAATACCTCACATAGAGATTACGCTATATAAAATTTCATCAACCAAACTCTTTATCATTCATAGAGAACGTAAAGCCGATACGGTTACATCTACATATATTATTTTGTTTTATCTAATGAGAATGAGCCTTTCTATTTTGTAATTTAGATAAAAAAATATTTTTGATTTCTATCTATTCATTTCAACCTTGGACGAGTGAAAAGCACAAACTGGACGATTCAACGGAAATGAAGTACTGCCTGTCGATAATACAGCGATGGCCGGTTTACCAACAGCTAAGGTTGCACCAAAAGGGTAAACGTAGGCTATTGATCTGTAAATGGATAATTATAAGAGATTAAATTGGTTAAGATGATAATAATTTATCTAGAAAGGTATGATATTAGTATGCATACGGTGAACTAGTAACGCTTTCATCATCAGTATTGCTTCCAGGTATTATTTTACCGGCTGCTCGATTGATCTCTCTAATTTTGAGAAATAGATTTAATTATAATCTCATTTATACAGTATGTCATAAAATTTAATTACTTTCTAAGAAAAATTTCTAAACTCTAACACTAAATTGGCTATCAATAGATTAAATCAGATAAATAATCTTAATGTAGCTATCGATTCTTAATAGGTTATTAAAAATATTAAATTACCTGTTTAAAACACCATTGGAAATAAATACTTCCTTAGGATGAAAGTATTTATAATAGGAGGTTCTCACAACCGTATCTAGTAGGGTACATAATAAAATATTCAGAAATAAAAATAAATCAGCCGAAAGGTTCATACGTAAAAGACTGTTTTAGGTCCTTACTGATCTTAATAGCAAAATATCTATTTTATTATCATTGCGTCTTAGCACTTAGTACCTTTCGTCACAAATATTGCGATGCATTATATTTAAGAAATGAGAAACTATTTGTTGCAATTCTAAATGTTTTATACATGGTGTAAATGATTTAATCGATTTTAACGAGATTTTCACTATGGGTGCCATAAATGTTAAAGGATAGGTTATATTATAGAATGCAAAATATTAATACGCATAAAGGCCGTCAACTCTGGACGTAGACTATAAAAATTTGCAACAAGAATTTGATCTGTTAAAACAAATTTTAATCTACACTACCATACTGGAATTAGCAAAAGCAAAGAACAGTGCTTAAAGAAATAAATCATTCTAATACTGTAGTACATGAATCAATAATAATTTTAATATATATTCAAGTACCATTATTAACCATGATGCCATAATCTTCCAACAAGAAGTTGATATTTGTATCGAAATTCGATTCACCGCCTTCACCAAGCATGACAAGAACACTACCACCTTGATCAATATAGTTTCTAATGGCATCGAACTAAGAATAATGAACATCATGGATCTTGTTTAATACAAAATTACGGTATACGAGTACTTTCTGGCATATTCAGCAGGTAATATCGTGAATGATTTTATGCTTTATGAATGATACTAAATACAACTTTCCTATTAATATAAGATTTCTGACTTACTTCAGACGCAGTAAATTTATCTCTTGGGCCAGCAAATATTATTACTTTAGATTGATTGATCTTGTTAAAGTTCAATTCGTCCTTATAACTATACGAAATTTTAATAAGGCAAAGAATTTAACTATATGGTAACCGTCCGGCAAGAATATAGCTTAATGTCTGTACTCATCTAATTACGTTTTAAGAAAAAATCTGCAACGTGTGCAATTAATTACGCGGTACCATTATTACATAAGTGATTACTTTTATATAAATCTGAGTGTGTTTTTTTAACTGGTTAATGTAATGTTCTATTCCTCATAGAGTAAGTATCGCCATTACTTCTATTGATTTACATATTGTTGCTTTTAGTTTAGAGATTATTGGCATTATTAAGAGCAATTATATTCACCTGATCACTTTCCAACTTGTTCTTAACCTTCGGTGTATAATCTTAAAGCCATTAGTAGGTGAGAAAAGTTCTCGTTTACTAACGTTAAACAGAATTGTATTGGCCTGACTTTCATCCTAAAAAAAAACCTATACTTGAGTACTGTATACGCGTATAACAGCTTTCATGTTATGTTCTTGAGGATTTTTGATTTATAATTTTGTATTTCATAACTAATTCCAGCTCTATTTAATAATGTGCTATCGATATTGGTAGGTACAGCATGCAGCCTACGAACGAATCAATGATGCTTTCGTGTTTTCAACTAGTCAAGTTTGATTTGGATGATCATGTCTACTACATGGATACTGATCAATGTTGCATTTGTCAACTTACGTTTTGGTTGCTTGTTGGTGCCATAGTTTCTTGTGGCTTTAGGGTGCCCGTTAGTCAATAAACTTAATAAAGGCCAGTCTATAAAGCTGTAGATGATAAACTAGTCTATGGACAGCTTTATTCTATCATATGACGATCAAAAATGGAGTATCTTATATAATATAAGACTTGTATGGATGCAGCGCGCAGCGTTTTTTCTGAATCTTTTGATGAACTAGTTTAGTTAGTAACGTAGCAACGGCGGGTGTGTTGCATAGAAACGGAGCACCCAACTACACGTAGTGACGGTAGTGTCAGTCTACATTGCCAGAAGCTGACGTTAGTGCATTTCTGTATTGTACTGTACAGTACTGTACCGTACTGTACAGTATCTCTGATCTTTCTACTGTACAGTACGTACTGTACACTGTACACTGTAAGTACAGTACAGCAGAAAGCTGCAAAAGCGACAGATTCAAGTCAGTTTCAACTCGGTGTCCAGCGTCCAGTTGTCCACTCCATCTCAGATACTCTGTAGATATTATGGCTGTAGTCACCTTTACATAATTATGGTCATCTCTGACAATATTTGGGAATATTTTTTATTTCTATGTTGCAGTTAAGGACTCTTCGTTATTAAAGAAATCACTATTTACCTCCAATTAGTTGAAAACCTTCAACTTTCTGACCGTTCGTTTTAATTCTTCAGTTGCCAGCATGAGCGAAATAATGATTGTGTCAAGAACAATATATGAGGCTTTAAATGATGATCGTATAATATAATTATCAAGCATCAACAATAGGCCGATACTTATACATCCTACTATATATAAAGTATAAAATTTTGTGCATATGGAATTGTGTATGGCAGTGAATTGTGTATTTTAATTCGATTAATTCATAAATAAAATAGCAACATAGATATAGATTCAGATTTTACACCGATTGCATAAACTATTAATTAGTCGTTGTACAGTACACTACTATACGTACTTTATTAAAAAAACTGGGTAAATGGCCAGGAAAGCGGCTATTTAAGCAGTCCGAAGGATTCCTATTAAACGGTTAATTTAAGGTAAATACTTCGCTACAACAAGGGATAACCAACCGGCACATTGATCGTAGATGTCCTACACATACTCCGTATTAAAAGTAGAATTGCAATAAGTACAGTACATTTACGCGAAATCTTCTACTAGTTGCATCTGTGTATAGTCTAATCCGACGAGTTACTAGTGAAGTTGTACTACGCGCTTTCGGTACTGCACAGTGCTCTATATGCTTATCGGCCATTTCTCATCAATGACTCGCTATCTATGCAGTTGTAGAACTGTTTCAATTACTACATAGTTTTGAATTTTGTGACATGGAATGAACTTAATTATGTACACTTACATATTACAGTATTGTGTCCATCTTAAATAGATTCATTATTTGCTCTTTATTATGTATGTTGCTGTTTATTTTACTCGAAACGAATGCAATCGCTATAGCGATTTGAAATAACATCATCATCGGCAAGATGTTACCAAATGTTTTAATGAATATATCTTCAATTTTGGGCATAGTAAATAAGGCTAAAAATAAAGTATGAAGTTTACGATACATCTCACGTACACGTATTCACATGCCGAAGACAAATTTATAAGATGTGAATAACAAATTGCAACTTAATTTACTCTAATTATAGTTAATACTTTGAGGCTTGTTTAACATATTTTTATGGCATCTCCGTAACGACCAGTTACGTATAAAAGAACTCTATACAGCAAGCCGCATTTAATTTTAATAACAATAAAAAGAGTTAGTGTTCTATTTTCTTAAGAAAGGGAAAATAACTGATTGGTCGCAAAAGTTAAAACGAGAAACATCGTAATAGATGTATAGAGTAATATTATGGTAATTTAAATCATTTTAATATAGGAATGAACGATCGCTTAATGACACTGAATTTCATCAATATTAAGTGTCAAAATTGACAGCTAGACTAGCGTAATAAGCAATATGCTAAATGAATCCAGGATTGAATAAAAAAAAATTTATTAATTACGTAGAGTATAATCATTGTGTATTCGAAACTACCGAGAATTAATTCACTAACATCAACGATTTCATGTTATGCTAAAGCTAGAGATTAAACGTATAAGCGTCATTAGTAAATCATCCTGTCTTGTCAATTTAAACCTATCGACTACTTATACCCCGCAATGACGATCGTTTTAATTAAAATCAATCAATAAATTTGCAGTATTCATTGGACCGCTAATGGCAGCCTTATTAGTGAAATCTTTCGATAGTTCATCGTTCGAGGAAGTCGATGATCGACTTCGTGCTAACTCAGTAAAATCATCAAACATGGATGCAGAGCATTTGTTAGGCGATGATGGCATGGTTGACGCTCTTGCTCGAACTGAAATTCCATCGGCAGTAGGAGGAGGTAATAACTTTGGAGGTGTAGCTGCAATGATTTTTGACTTTGGTGAAGAACTAGTTTCAATTCGTGAAGTAGAGGATGCACGCGGCCTAACGTCATCCTTTGATAGTCCCAATGCCTTATTCTTTATGTTATTAGCCGCTGCGGTTAATCCACTAGAAGCGTCCATTTTTTTATTTTCGTTCCCTTTGCTGTTCAGTTTGGCTTTAGCAAAAGCCATTCGAAATGCTGTACCGAGCACGGTTATAATATTACGGGCGGTTTGTACGTCATCGCACATAAAAACATGTGCATGAAATTCATTTTTCTCTTCCGCTCGAGTAATATAACAGTATAAAGTTGGATGATTTTTACTGCCGCTACAAAAGGAAATACGCTTTAGCGGCATATCAATGACAGACATTGTAGTTGATACGTCCTCGATCAACATCCTATCCCTTTCAATTCGCACGCACATTCTACGCTTTTGATTTTTCTTCGTTGATTCGCGGTATACTTTATCGATAGCGATTTCAACATGATCGCTACCCGTTCCAAACTTATCTACGACCTGGCAGTAACCTAAATAGCGAACCTGATAGCTAGCCCCGGTGATGACCCGATCTTCATTACTAACGTCGTCACGATGTTGTGAGTAGTTGGCATTTCTACCAAAGCCAATTTTTTTTAAGAAGCCGCTTTTTTCTTCTTCCATTGGAGTAAAAGAGACAACTCGAATAGAAAGCACGTCGATTCTCTATTAAGAGGTAAGCACCATCAATTGATCAAACTAGCTGAATATTGTGCAGTATATAGATTTATCGTTTTTTATATCGAGTGTTGATAACGGTAAAAAGTAAACACTCACACTACGATATCAATCATTTATGATAGCCATTATTTATTTATAATTGCCTTTTACTTACCAATGATAGCGATAATATTAGCTATCGCAGTATTGATGGGCTATAGTAATGAGCTCAAGAACGAATGGTTTGAGCAAAATCAACTTGTAGAAAATTGATCCAGCAGTCCTTTGAAAAAATTAGAATATGATTAACTCTAGTACTGTTTTACATTTTTATCTAACCGCACTCTGAAGTAAATACTGTAACTCTCTCTGCTCTTCTTGATTCATTAATTACACTACTGTAATTTATAGTGATTATATTATTAACAACTAACTCATTGTATTCTTATTTGTATAAACAGTTCTGGAACCTACAGTACGGCACACTGTACACTGTACTGTATAGCTGGATTAACTTCGGTGGCACTAAGGAAAATAAACCGTGTAGGCTAAATCAAGGCAAAGTAGATAAAATCTTCTACGTATGCCTACACATATAGATTTTGAACAAGAAAGTTAACAAATTGCAACTTTCAATTTTCGACGCCATCTTGCCATCGAAGTTAATCGCGCTATACAGTACAATACTGTACATCGCGTACTGTACACTGTAGTATCAAATAAAGATTATTACTCTTTTTCTTTCCACTACGGTACACAACACTGTACTGGATTGTACTGTACTACACTCGGAGCTTGTGCAGTAGGAGTCTTGTTCAGCATCGACTGCTCAAGAACTGCATGATTCGCAGGTGTTGCAAGCAAAGTAAGGCTGTACTGTAAATGTTTTATCACTACAATTTATTTTTCTAGCCATTCTAACTATCATATTACTTGTTCTACTCTTACAACTAGTGAGGTTTAAATAGTCTATATTGAAAATAGAACTCCAGACAACTTGTGTCATCCATTTGATTGACGAAAACTTTAAATGATAAACGAATTACGCCGACATGAGAGTTATTGCAACAAGTGCCATTGCAACAGGATTATTAACATACCAACTCTATCCTCATCTATTTCCAAATCGTATTCGACCCAAGCATATGACAGGATTTCCAATCATGCAAGAGACAATGGCCTCATTCAAAGAAATTTGTCAGAAGCTTGATATCGATCATAGTGACAAAGTCAAAGTCTATGTCGACAAAAGTAATTCAATGATTGTTGATACTACGTATAAATCACCTTGATCGCATACAGTAGTAGTAAATCTATTTATAGTTATGCAGTAATTTTGAAAAGCAATCGTCAATGTTCAACTAACCAAAATCGAGCTTCATGTCAATCTAATCAATGTACAGTATGTGCTATCCATTCCTTGTTTATGTTTTACTAAACGTATAAACGTTCATGCGATTATAGGTCTGACTGCTGGAAATTTAGGAAATAGTTGGTTGCCCAACGGAGCAATCCTTAGCTTGCCGTGTACTATTTATTTTAAAACCGTCAATGATGTCATATATTCTAGAATTACTTTTGGCAATCAAAAGATTGAACGTGAAGATTTACTCAAATCTTTCATTACTTCAGCGAATTGTAATAATTTCCAGATGGCTCACGAATTATCCCACTTAAAATTGAACGACTTTATACCTCGAAGCATTGTAATGCCTACCTTTTACATAATAGCTAGTGGTGTCTATAGTCTGTGCAATAAGTTCTTCTTAGGATCGACACTATTAAGGGGACTAAGCAAAGCCGCGGTCATAGCTGTAGCCATAGGCTGTTTCGTAGCTACGAACTCCTACATTATCTACAGACAGGAATATAGAGCTGATCATACTGCAGCTAGTATTGATCCAACGTACTTAATAGGTATCTTACTGCAAATACTTGTTGATAAAACGGCTTATATGATGATATAAGAACTTGCGATTCAATTAATATTCTTTCTATAATAGCTCCAGTACGTATATGATTTATTTTGCTAACGTACTGTTGCAGTAATCAATCTGTATTATACTTATCTAATGTTGTACGCTTTCCAATTTTGAAAATTAAAGGTGGTATAGAACTTATGCACAAGTATCTTGACTGGGAAAACAAGTTTAACAAGAATGGTCCATCTAAACCTTTCTTAACGGTCATGTTGAAACGCTTATCGCATCCACCGGTAGAAAGGAGGCTTCAGCGGTTATTAGACATGCAAGAGCAGAGGGCTATCGCTGATAGTAAGAATTAAGAAAGAAACTAATTGTGCTTTTAATATCGAACTCGGAATAAGCTATGAATGAGATAGTGTATCAAGTTTATAGAAGGCCTGGAGTGTAGGTAAACTCGATCTGTATATATTATACTGTTTCGTACATAAATATATGCTTGTCCACTACTGTATATGTTACGCATATACAGTATATATATCTACTAAGAGTTCAACACCCATGTTACAGACTTATACTTCCTCTATTAACAGGTTTACTCGTATATGTGGGTTTAATAGGTAAACTGTTGCATATTGTATTGGTGGGGCTATCGATTAAAGACTGTGTAAGGCAATGTCATATTGCTCCACAGTACTGTGCACTAGACAACACAATACAGAAAATAGTGATTTAAAATATACAACATTGATAGTAAATAAAATTGAATTTATTTTATTTGTTGTACAAAGTTGCAGCTATCATGAATACAGAAATAGAGTAAAAGTCCAAAAATCTCGCTGGATATTTTATGTACTGTACTTAACAAATTTCAACTTTGATGAATGAATGATATATGATATTTATTACACCATTAGTGCATTACTGTCGATAAGCAGTAATAATACGTGTATTTCTCTCTAAGTTATAGTATATGAGCTACAGTTATGCTTACAAGCATGGACTACTCAATACTAAATCCTCGTGGACTCCACACTATGCTCGACCTGTAGCTACAGCACGACAAGAAACCCCCAAATTATTGGTTCTCTTTAGCCATGAGCTTGTCGAGATCTACAAGTCCATGCTTTAGCTGACGATCCACCGTGTCGGAGTCAAATGCGCCCGAACTTTGATTGATTGACATACTGTACACTGTATAGTACAGTACTGTTTGTAACCTCTGTGTTTCTGTACAGTACAGTACAGTACATCACTACACTACGTACTGTACACTGTACACTGTACAGTTCTTTCCCAGTCAATCCACACATGTACAGTACATTGTACAGTACTGTACTACAGTGAACTTCACCCTACCTGTGCTTCAAGTCAATCGGGCCCAAAAGATACAAAGCATGCGCAAGCAATCCAAACCTGCAGATGACACTAGCAGCGAGAGCGGTCACACGTATCTGCTGCAATTTTTTTATCCATTTTTATCCTTTTGCCAGCCCTTACATCTCGACATGGCCAAAGAAGAAGACCGAAAACAAGATTTTTTATTAGAGTTATATAAAGAGAAAGAGAAACTAGATCCTTCCTTTTACCATAGTATACGATTACTTTCGAAAGGTAGGTAAGGATACACTGGAATGCTAAGCTAATCATCATGTCATCGAAATGGACAATGAAAGCATTTCATAGCCACGACTTTGTCTTGTTGGATCAATGATACATGGAAATTTCTATCGTTAAATATATATCGATAGCTTTCATTGCACTCTTTGTACATACAATCGATGATAGTCAAGTTATTTGAACAGCTCTGATATCGTTGAGACGATGGAATATTACTTTACTTTCGGATAGATTGCAGGTTTTCTGCCTGATTTCAGTGACCTTTTTCTTGATTGATAGAGTCAATTTTTGACTCAATCACAATAAGCCAATACTATATGCACTATTGCTCAAAATGATTCTTTTCCTTTTTCATTTTGCTGCTATCTTCAAGACATGAACAGCTTTTAACAATTAATTTTATCCTAGTAGTGCAAAACGTTGAAATTGATCGTATTCCAGCGATGCTTTACAACAAAAATACTTTAATGACCACGGCTTGACTGTAGGCACCGTTTTACAAGCCATCATTGATTTCATCCTAAAGCACGTACAGTATATTGTGCTAGATGATCGATACTGGATTAGAATGGAACAATAGCATCAATAAAATGGAGAGAAAAAGTGAATAAAATGGTGTACTTTACTACACTTAAATCGAACCCTCTTAATCAAATATTAGCAAGAATTCGAAAAATTAAATGTAATAAAAAAAGTTTATTTTACGAGGACAGAATCTTGCCCCCAAATTTGTATCATCTTTTCCAACTTCCTCTATATAACTATTAACTATACTTTATCGCTACTACCATACGATGATGTGAGACTAATAATGATTATCTTATTATTCAATTCTGAACTGATTTTAGAAATTGCTCGAGTAGAATGTGGCGATGAAACGTCTGGTAATGGTTCTCTTAATAGCAATAATGTCAAACAGGAATCTCCAATGACATCCGTTCGACTTCATGATCCATATTCTCCCAGTGCTATCAAACTATCTGAAAGAGTATTAATTCCTGTCAAAGATTATCCAGGCGTAAGTTAGCAAATGAAAATTGCGTTTTGTTCCTATTTTACATACTGTATTATCACGATATCGATGCGTCTTCTAGCCTACGGGATACACTATTCTGGATCAATACAGTGCTGTGTTAGAAGGCACTTCTCTATTTGTACCAATTAGGAACAATCGAAAAAATAGCAAAGAAACCACTTATAAGCTTAAATTGTTCTTATCGACAAACCTTTAATATGATATAAATCTTGTTTACATACAGATTCTCTATCATACCCTAAATTCGTAATTAATGAACCTCAATCTTATCAATTTAATTATCCAACGATTTAACCTCCTTCAACATACATTACAATACTCTTCATTTACCTTATGTAAATTTTTTTGGCGTCGTCAGCATAATCCAACTTTAAAAAAATAAGGTATTGTCTTGATCAGTATAATATACAGTAAATACAAATCGAACTGCTCTATGTTTAGGACATAAATAGTAGAAACTTTTTCAGGAAGAGAGAAATAAAAGTAGAATATTCCATACAGTAGCCTTGTCGATAAGGTGATACTGTAATCATTGAAACGTACAGTATGAGTAAAATATCATCTACTACTGTAGATCTAATTGTAGCAATTAAGGTTAAATGTAGTCATTAGTATGACACAAACACTTAATGTCGTATTATACAGTAATTGTAATTTTACTCAACGAAAAAATCTTTTGTTCTATCATTAGACATTTTTAGTACAAATTAAACATTGAATGCAGTCAAAGTGGGCCTCATCAAGTGCCTAAGCTGTAAATCATTTTCCCATTTTAGCTAATTTCAAATTGTTAATTGATTTTTAAGTAGCACACTATCAACAAACTATAGACGATAAATGGACCGTTGTACATTAATGATGATCAGCATTTGCTATCTGTGCGATTCAAGTATTGATTTTTCGATACTCTCCGTCAAGTTATCGAGATGTTGAATCGATTACCAACAAGAGGGGTTTAGAGAGAGAGAGAAACTATCTTCGTTTAGTTCATTCAATATACTGTATGCTCTTTTATTTAATCTCTCAAATACTAAGTGGTATATTTAGGACGTTCTAGCTTTTAAAAAAATACTAGTATCCTAAGCTGTTGCCTGAGTATTATCCGTATTATTGACTCTAACCTGTGCTTCATTCACGTAGATGTTGTCGTAGTTATGCAATAGTCACATTAAAATATTTTAAATAGCCTATAAAACACGTATCGTTTTAATCATCTGTTGTCTTCTGCGACTTGCATCAGCGATAATGATAGCATTAGAGAAATTTTTTCTTTACAGAATCTACAAAGAAACGTATTCATGCCTTTATTTAAAGAGAATACGTACATTTATTATCTCAAGTAAATTTTTTGAAGATTACAACAAAAGCACAGAGATATTAGCGATTTTGAGTTATCCTTTAGCAATTTGTTGGATTGCGCATAATAGATTGCCCCTGTACAGTAAATAACAAAAAACATGCTCTGATCATTCTAAAAAAGTAGTTTACGTTCTTTTATTACAACTGTGCAATATTGATTTTAGTAGATAGATACGTGGATAATAGTAGACTTTTGATGCCTATGCGGCCATACCGAGAATCCTTTCACAATTTACTTATGCTAAGCGATCCTCAATTGTATTCATCATTAAGTATAATCTTGTAATGTACTGTACACTGTACAATAAGGCAGATAGTGGCCAGAAAACAGCGATAAAATTGCTAAACTTTTAAATGACCTTCTAATAAATGTTATAGTTCAATTTTATTGGAAAACTACTCGGTCCTCGTGGTAACACGCTAAAGAGGCTCCAATCTGATACATTGACGAAAATGTCAATACTTGGTAAAGGGTCGATAAGAGATAAGGAAAAGGTAGTATCAACAATATCTAACGTATTGAATGGTTCTAACAAAATTTTAATGCATAACGGTTAAATAAATAGATCACATTTACTTGTCTCAAGTGACCGGAGTAGAATATTGTAAATATGAAGCGTAATAACTAATACGGCATCATTAAAGGCTTACTGGGTACTAAATGTACGCGTACTTTTTGTAGTTTGCAAGTAACTTAATCCCACCTAACATCAAGAAAAAGATAACAATTGCGTTTTAATAGGAATAGTTACATTTATCTTAGATATAAATTATTCATAGTAGTCGCAACTACAGTACAATAAACACGTCCGTTACGGACTTGCTCTATTTTTGAGCGACATTGTAAATCAATCCCGGATACCATCCTAAAAAAAGATGGGAGATTGATCTTACTGCGAACATTTTTTAATACTTGCTTGTAGGATAAAATTGCTCTAAATTCATTATTTATTACGTAAACGTAAGAAATTAATGCTTGCAAAAACTTCTATTATATGCGTACTTTTGTAATCAGTTGCTATATAATATTCAATATTTTTCTCATTCCAATTTCCTATCAGACAGCTGTTCACTTGCGTAACAGATTGAAATAGTCATCAACTGTTTTATAACATTTCATATCACCATTCGAGGTGTCTTTTTTTTCTATCCAAAGTATTCAGAAATATTAGAGTATAAAAAATTCCTTACAATTTCCTATCAGACAGCTGTTCACTTGCGTAACAGATTGAAATAGTCATCAACTGTTTTGTAACATTTCATATCACCATTCGAGGTGTCTTTTTTTTCTATTCAAAGTATTCAGAAATATTAAGAGTATAAAAAATTCCTTATTAAATAATTTTCAGATATTAAAGTATAATTTTATTATGTTTACATTGTATCTACTACAGGAAGAAGAATTAAGGCGGGATGATCCTAGCAGTCACTTACATTTAGATTTACATGTCCTCATTGAGGTGGAAGCACCTTATCATGAAGCACATCAACGCCTATGCGCTTCTGTAGAAGCTTTAAGAAAATTTCTGAGGCCGGTAAGTGTTGGCTGGTTTTTTAACTTTTATTATAGGGCTCTACATGCTCGTGAAAAAAAAAAAATTAAAAAATCAGTCATTTATTAGCCTACTAATCTAAGTTCCACGAATCCGTAATTTCTTATTATTACTGACATCGTAAGCGTTTGCAATCAATTTCTTTATTTTGTGTTGAAATCAACATGTAGAGTGCAGCTAATATTGCCTATTCATATAATCAACAGTTCGTTGTGTTATTTTCTTAATAATTGTACAGTACTAGCAACAAGCATTCGTCCAAAATATTGCTGACATTGCTAAACATAGTTTTATAATGCTAACGATCAAGTTGTGTAAATGTTGTACCCTTTTTGAATATCAAACAAAGACAAACAGTGATCCTCTCCACCAACAGCAAATGATCGAATTAGCTTATTTATCTGGTAAGCAAGACGAAAGTGGAGATTCTGTCGCTGTAGCTAAATCTTATCCCAGACCTATCATTCACCGCAAACTTACGGAGATTGATGCGCCAACTGAAAGAAGAGTTAATGATCCTTCGCAGATTTTAAGAGCAAAAACTTTATTCGCATCTCGTTCCGCTACTTTGGGCAGAGTACGTGAGAGTGTACCATCAAAGTATACAGAATATACTGAAGAAAAGTATGATCCACGCTACGAGGAAAATTACTCTGTAAGTAGCAATGTAACTTTGTTTAAAATTATTCACTTCCTCAATTTACCATAATCTTTTTGTATCATTTTAACTAATGTCTTATAGCCTTACTCATCAGACTTCATGGAACCAAGGTTTGGATAATTCAAGTTAAATCAGTATTAACAGTATCAATTTACCTATTTGTAGTCCAATATATACGTGTAATGCTAAAACCTTAACGCTTCATTTCTCTGATTGTAGTAATCAAGGTTCGCGTTATATTTATACATATGATACCCCTAGCGAATCTCATGCTGATTCCAATATCGATAAATTTGGTGAATATGATGGTCAGTTAATGAAATAGAAAATGAATATGATGAAATTGCATTAGTTTAGATATTACAATAATAGAACGGCTATTGGCTGCTGTGCAAGTTGAACAAAGTAACTTGATTTAGTATTTTCTACTGGTGGTGTTTTTCCGCCGTTAGATGATACTCTCAACAGTCATAAACTTGTAAATATAGCCGAACATGAACATGCTGTGCTCATAGTCCTAGTGATAGCGTTCACCTATCACTAGTCTCCAGCAGATCGATATTCATCATCACGTAGCTTTTAATTAATCTCTTACCTCTGTCTTTAAGTATTTTTACTAAAAGGGTAAATATCATTTATTCATAATGTGTAGAAGACTGGCGAAAATCACAGATGAAAATGCATTCTAATCGAAACAAAATTTACAGACGGAGTGCTCATCCCTATTGAGAAAGCACGTAGTAAATAGTATAGTTAAGGATTTTTTACAAACCATAACAATTGTCATCCTTTCATGTCCTCGGAAAAAATGAATTGGCCAGATCATCCATATGATAATAATGTAAAAAGAGGCGACTACCTACATCCGTGGCAACACAACTACTATCATCTTAAAAGCTAAAGCATCGCTATAGAATTAATCCAATGGAATTGAATTCCTATTTAAAAAATTGTAAAAATTCTATCGACAGGTAAATGGAACACCCCTTCACTAGAGGTACATGCCTCTACCAGGAAAATAATTTATTATCGACTGTTAATATTATTTATCATATCAGAGTTTCGATTAATATCTACAGCATTAGGCGCTGCAAAAAGGTGAATACAGAATTTTCTGAACTATTTTAGTTCTATGTTATCGCTGCACTGTAGTAAGCCCAACGTTTATTGGCTTTTATTCCTATTTGTTGATCTATGATCTTTTATTAAATTACATGACCTAACTCAATAATGTAATTTGTGATGAATGCGTAACTAGTCTACTATTAAGCCCATTACCTATTCAAAATTTATTGATGGCGGTATCTGAATCAACAATTTCAATATTTGTAGGTAGGGGGCATTAATATTCCACTAATGATTATTAGTTCAGTCACCGCGTCCGATATTAAAGCAATTACTTTGCATCGAAATTATGAATTTTTAAAATACATAAAACTAATATATCTCGATAAATTTCAAATCAATGCTGTTAAAATGAACCCATAATACAAATTAACTATACATTGTGTTCAAATTTTCGATTTCGAATTTATATTATACAGATTCTTTCCTTTATTGCATAAATAACGACATTGTTGTTAAAGATATAATAACTGCGAAGTAATTAAGATAATCTAAACTTCGAATTAACTATACTGTAAGATCTCTTCAACAAGTAGATCTAAAATTTATTTTATACAGAGCAGTTTTGTGATATTACTATCACAAATACTGATACTGAAGTCACTATAAAATAAAGTCGAATATTGATTATTCTAAGGATACACATGTACGCATATGTACTACATAACCGACATGGGACTTGTACGAGTGTAATCACTTGGTATAGTCGTAGCCAAATTATTCTACGTATCAGATACAAATATATTGTAAAGTTTTTTTTATAACATATAAGCCCTAAACGAATAAACTAGAGCCCTCTCATATCGGTCTTTATACTGATAGAAATAACATAGACACACGAAGTTACAAAAATAATTACTTAGGTGAAGTCTTCTCAATAACTTTCTCTAGTTAAACTGCCCATACAATTACTAGCAAGGACTCTCGAACTCGTTAGTCCTAGGTGTTAGTAACACGATAATTAAGTCTTTATAAAGAAAGGACGTTGTTACTCTTAGTTCTTCTAAGCGATTTAATGCTCTGTTAAAGCTACCGACATCGTAGAGGATACATTATGATTTATTAATTTTACGAAGACACTTACATCGTGGCTTACAGTAATTAACGTATTCAGTAACTGACACCAACACAGTTATTTAATGCAAGCGGACGGTAATAAATCATAGAAGTCAACAAATCCACAGTATGATGGATAATAAGAGATGATGAGTTAGCTGGAGGTACTGCGTTTTTTCCGGTATACTTTTATCTCTGAATCTTAATCTAAACTACATGTATGATCAGTAATATCGTATTCTGTACAATAATAAAATTTCTAAGTGGCCAATTGCCACAAGCAGTAAGAAATTAATGGAAAGATATACATGTATTAAATCACAGTTGTAGAATGGAAGAAAAAAGACTAACTAATCCCCTTTATAAAGAACCTTAACGAGGAAACATATAAACCTTTGCTAATAAGTATTGAAACATGATATCTGCAGCAAATAAAAGATAGCTCTAAGAAGTGTAACATGCAAATCGAACAATTTTAGTGACACTCACTAAACACATAATAAGATCATGTAAAAAAATTGCAGGAAAATTTAACGTAACCTATAATATCACCATGAATAATGCTGATAATAATATATCGAAATACTTATTGTGAGTTAACACTTGCAGGTAAAGAAACGGATAGCTAGCTTCTACGCTCAATTAATGATCTGAGAAATAAAAGAATTATAGGTATTATACAATATAACGCAATACTACAATAAAAATATCGTGTTAATCGTATTTATCCTTCATACTTACTGAAAAAATAGTAGATTTAATAAAGTCTTTTTGAGATGAAATATCAATATCGGGGAATTCTTCCAGCAACTTCATAGTCACATAAAAGAACGTCCAAAAGAAATTATTTTCACACGGAGAGTTTAAAATGAACCTTAATAATTTCCTACCTCCCGACAAACAGACTTTATCGTAACATTTTGTAAGTCAGCACCATCTAACAATTTTGTAATTGCAGCTTCGATTTCGCTATCCTGTTATAACATTGTTTAAATTGATAAAAATAAATTTTACAGCATATTTAGTTTCGACTACATCTAGCACCACAAAACTAACGTACTGTCGGCGGATCTTTTTTCATCTTCTTTGCTAGCGGCTCTTCATCCGAACTATCAAAGTCATCCACAACTATAAAATGTTCACGAATTTATTTAAGAGATTACATTTCAGAAGCACTAATGTTGGTACACAAACCCGTCTTTGCCTTTCTTTTCTTCTTCTTGGTTGGGGATTTCGTCTTGATCTGCTTTTCTTTCCGAGGAGGCTTCTTAGCCTATTAAATATTAAATGTAAACTTCTTTAAGTAATTAAATCAATAAAATTTATACCATTAAACAACAATAGAGTTACAACTAATTATCACAGATATTTCAACGCTTTAGATTAGTAACAATACCCATACCGTTTTGGGACGTTTCGGTTTTTTCCCTATCAAAAGATACGTAAAATGCGAAAAATTTTCATTGACCATAATAGAAGTGCTTACAAATCTCAACCAATAATACGCATGTTAAAAGTAAAATTTGTTACAATATAAGTTTAGCTGACCACTACCTGAGCTTCTAGTTGAACCCTAAAATTAATAAAGATTTGTTAAATTATTTTTTTCTTAAGAATCAACATATTGCAATTAAGATTGTAACACTTTCGTTGAGTAATTAATAGGGATAACTTTGCTTACTGTTACCTGAGCGCCTGAGCTAGACGGTACAAGCAAAAATTCCATTATATGTTCTATCATTTCGACCTTGATAAATATATTTTATTAAATTGCAGTTATACGATATAAAGATGATATGGTAGGCTAATTTATGACTAGTTTATACCTTTGAAGCACCGCGTTGAACACATATTATGCCACACAAATTTCGTAGATCGGAAGATGTCATTCTTAACGATAACGATTAGATTAACTCTAGTGTCTTAACTAGTGCTTCCCTATGAGATAGCAAGACTATTTGCAGTCGTTAAAGTTGACTTACTTTGATAACATTTTCTCTTTTGTTTGATATTCATCACTAGTCTAAAGGTCAAAGAAGTCATTGTAATGATCATTCATGATAAATAAGTGTATACATACATATATCTCTTACAGTGTCAAAGTTGAATCCTCGGAAATCTCGAATATTTCTTTTCACTTCAGTAGCCTAAATTAAAGAGCGAAACGATGCGATTAAGCTATCGAACCAAATACGGGCTAAAAAGCACAGCTTACCGATCCAGGGCGACCAAATAGTAGTCTATGTAAAGGTTTTAAGGTATCTGCCTTAGAACCTGTTACCGCAGTTTCGACTACATAAATTGAAGCCATAAGATAAGTTAAAAAAATAAAACCTTCCTATATTAATTTATGTCATAATAAATCATGCATTTCCAGCAATACTTTGTGAAATATCTCCGAGACGTTCGCCTTTGCCAGTAGAAAAATCGATTTTAGTTTTGACTTTAACAGGAATTTTTAAATGTAGCCGATCCGTTGTTTTGCGTACTCGAGCACCTTCCTGAATTAGAGGTTTGTCGTAAATACCTACCAAATAAAATAGCATCAAATCGTAATTTAAAATTTCAATGCATTCGGGAATCAGCATACCTCTTACTGAATATTAGGTATGCAATAACTAAATATCATCATGGCATTTAAAACCTTGATACTAATAAGATTTCGACTTGAAATATATGCAATATGTTTACTTTAATATTATCTTTGATAAGAGTGAAATCTTGAGTGAGTAAACCAAGTTAAATATTAATAAATAAATCATTACCAACCTAAATGTTTGGTGTTATCGTCGCCATTCTCGCTGACACCTTAAATATCAGTAGGCACGCGTAGGTCAATTGAACGTGTCGTAAGTAATTATAATTAAGAATACAGACTGCATTCAAAAGACAACCATACCGGAATCTTCATTAGCTTCTGAGGTTTCGATTTCATCCTTGGTCTTAGTCGCAGCCTATATCAACGACACGAATAAAGTACGGGTATGATCCGATAAATTATTACATTAACTTGCTAATATTTATATGATTCCACAAATCATATCATGCAACTCAATTCACGAACTTCATATATTGTAACAGGATTTTGTAAGTATGACAGATTCAAAAATTCTCAAACATCTCATAGGGGTAATTAACTGTAATGAAAAATCTATTTCATGCAATCTTCGGTAGTATGCTATAGGAGTTTTAACCTGAAATCTTATTATCTACAATCATTGCACGGCATTTCTTAAGATATGCATGGCAATTTTTTAGTTAATATTTAGTGATTCCCTCTAGTAGAATAATTCAGTGCAGTTACATCAGGTATAATTGTCTTTCTTTTAATGCAGTAAGGAAGCTATATGTTGGAACGTATCAAATACTTATCACTCGAAACGATAACGTATTCGTTACATCTGGTGCTTTTAGTACTAATATCAGTATCGTTACAATTTAACAACAGTCACCAACAATTACAAAGATTATCTTCAATACTACATCTATAAGGGTTTTATCTATGTGATAGCAGCAACCAGAGTATATTTATATAAGAGTACGCACGATTACTAACTGATTGCCTAAACGCAATATATCATTATATTTTCATTTATAACATGTCACTTTTAGTTTAAATAGTGCACAAAGCTGATGAAGCTGTTAGCACATCCGTTATAACGCCCTTTAGATATTTATTCGTGTTTAGCGTCAATTAAAGACAGACTGATCTACTACAAAGTATGGTGCTATTTGTACGCTTCTTTATTAAACAACTATTGTTGAGTAATAATATTTCAGGCTAGAATTTCCTTTAATTCCTTTAATAGCTGGCACAGTAGTACTATTTAGTGAGCAAAAATACGTCATACGAGTACTATTGTAGCTATGTACAGTACATTAGCATATTGCGAAGTACTGTGTATATAATAATTTTTAAATGCTAGCGCATTCCCTTAATATAGTATCGAAATCGAGCAGTGCCAAAAGCTATAATTGTACTAGTATTATACGTACACCGCTTTATGAGGGTAACCTATATGTGAAAATAATTATTTAAATTACAGATAAATCATCGATTCTATTTCAATATACCCGTATACGTACAATGTATAGGGTATCATATCAATTTCAATTTAGATGACTGTCATTGCTCAAGGCTAAGCGTACAGTATCACGTCAGACCAGTATACTGTACAAGCCCATAACTTTATTGAATTCGAAAAACATTAATTATCATTCCGTAACTATCATGCTACATCCACTAAACTGCTGGAAGAATCTAATAACGTGAAAATTGATCTAAGTATCAGAAGATAGTACATAGACTACTCGCTAAAGCTAGAACAGTTTAAGAATATGAATTGGGTTGATAATACTCTTGTGCAAAGGGGATCCAAATTGGTGACAATACAGTCCATATTAGATTGAATAGTTGCTGAATGAGTTAGTGTGTTTACGTGCAACCTACAGTAAGCTATCTACAGTAGACTACAATAGTTTAGAATTGGACACTGGCCTATTTGATGTAATTAACTACTGTACAGTATGTCCACCATTAGTAAATGATTGTTTACAGGTCCGATTGCAAACTACTGTAAAAATGGTAGCGATAGAATTGTAGAAGTTGTCCGAGACTCCTACGTAGTGTATCGTGCATAATACTACACAGGCAACAAATGCTTATAGCGGTGTCTGACATCTCGTGGTATCTTGTCAGTTAGCACCTGATATAGAATCAGCAGCCTCGACATTTTTATTGAACTCATTTGGATGGTTTCACTGTCCATAGGTCTACAACAGTATTGTGTTCAATGCCAATTCGAGGAATAAAGCCGTTACATAAACGTCTTGGAACTGCACTAGCTATCGCAAAGAGAGTGAAAGAGCTGCAACCTCCATAATGTATGTACTGTATAGACACACGCATTATATCATCAATACTTACGGTATTATCTGTCGACATATTGTAGTGTATCGGTATTTCTTTGAGAATCAACAGTCGCTTTTCTTGATGTTGGGAAATCCAAATTCTAATTAATCATCATATACGTCTACGTATATAATTCAAAGATTACTTGGTGTTTTTGCGCCAAACCTCTTTGTTTAGCAATCAGGCAGACCAGGGCTCGGCGGCTTTTGCGAGAGCGTACAGTACAGTACAGTACAGTATGACATGTACTGTACACTGTACTGTACAGTACTCCTGCAGTACTGTAGACAGTTGTACAGTACTGTACAGTATAGTACTGTACAGTACAGTGTATTACACCGTATATTACAGTGTACAGTACTGTAACTGTAGCTGTATCAAGCCTCACTCAACAGTACTCGACAGTTGATTATATAATAATAATTAATTATAATGTAATGTACATGTACTGTACATAAATCAATTCGAATCAGTCAATCAAAAGGGAAAAAGTTGAATTTTCCTTTCTAGTTTGTGCTGCTTCGCTTTCATAATCATCATTCCGTAACTTTTATTTTAGCCTCATACTTGTATCCTTAATCTCTTGCTCGTGTTCTATCGAATATTAAATTCCTACATACTGTATTAAAATACAATACTATATTACGAATCTAGGTCAAAAAGCGTTCTGGGTTACGCCAGTACAGTATAGTGCATTAGAGAATGGACTCTATTCAACCACGTGTGATCTTTAAGGTCAAGAGGTAACTGTGAATCTGTGACATTGCAAGTTTATCTAGCTGAGAATTCTATTTAGCATTGTTGATAGACTAAAATTGGACATCACGGCTATACGCTATGGTGCACTGCATACTGTATTGTAGGAACTACCAAGACTTGAAATCGGTGATTGATACGATATTACTATTTACTTTACTAGGGTACATAATTGCTTGAAACTTAAAACTTGTCCCAATGGAGTCATGCATGCTGTAGTAATTCCTAATGAATAATATCCCCATGGCCATTAACTAACTGTAAAATTTACAGGAATCCACAAACGCAATATTGATACATTATCCACACAAATAAAATACAGTACACTATCAATTTTCAAGATTTATTAGACTTTATTGGTTCAAAGTTGTATTATACATTATAGTGCGCGGTACATAACATACTTGTACAGCTGGTACCAGACAGTGTAATGACATACTGTAATCTACGTATATAATACTGTCACTACCTACTAATAACCTAGCACGATAGCAACCTGAGCGTTACTGCATTATACTGAGTACTCAATACAGTATACGCGTATTCTATCTATAAAGGTAATTATCAAGATTGTTACTCATATATATTAAAAGTTAATATATAATCCAAAAAATTTATCAGTTACTGTATATAAGATCGGTTCCATTGTATGAGCCATTTACAGAGGTTAAACTAAACTATCCTGCATTTCTCCGGATAAAAATTTCTAACACTATCATAATAGATCTACTGTATATCCATTTCTGCAGGAACAGCATATAACAACGGCGGCGGGAAAAATTATATTTCAGGGATTGAGTGATCCATTTGCTTCTTGACAAGGCTTGATGCCATGCTTCAATTAATATAAAACAAACATTTATTACTAAGATTATCATATTTATAGGTGTTAAAATTGAACATCAATAAGTTAATGGCTTAGACTTACTGTTTCATTATATGATCAAAGATGAAAGTTGGTATAATGGTAACGGTTACGGTGCGACCACATGCTTGGAAAATCTTACCAATATCTTTATCCTAAGTTGAAAAATAAAGAAGATACCTTCTCGTTAATGTCATTAAAAAACTATGAAGCCTTTCATAGGTTGCACATTAGTGATCTAGACCAAGATCTACAGTATCAATTTGAAAATTTAACACTACCATTAGATGGTAATACGAACCTTCATACCAACAACATTTTGACCGTCAACTTCGACTAGATTATGTTCTGTCAAGATACCATTTCTGAAATTGAAGAAAAAGACTTTCTTAGCTACATTCCATTGGCTTATACCTTGGATGTAAGCAATTACTTAATAGCTTCAAAACTAGAACTACCTGGCAGCTGATGAATCTTTCACGATGTGAGTCACCTTTCCATTCTTGAAAACAAAACCGATATTACCATCGCTATTCTTTTGTAAGGTGATTGTACGTTCAAAAGGCCTAAGCAACAAAAAAAAATAATTAATAACTATAGCCACCGATTAATATCATGATATTAACCCTTACCTATCTCTTACTGCAAGTTCAATTCTATCTGAAGTAGCATTTTTGAAAAATTTCATAGCTTTGTCAGTACTGAGACCAGCTAAATTTTGACCATTGATCTATATACGTTATACGATAAACAGTCGATATGAAGATACGAGGTTATGATAAATCACGCATACGTGGTAAATACAATATGTTCATTAGCTGTATCATTGAATATATAATTGATCAAGTTACCTGCAAAATTTGGTCACCAAAACGAAGGCCACCCATGGCAGCTGCAGAATTTGCACTTACAAATTGCACAAAGATTCCATTATTGACGTTACGAACCCTCAACCCAAGCTTGTTCTTGTTGTCTTTAGCAAGGATTACCATGCGGATACCTTGTTTAACCTCAGCCCTTCTAATACCGACAGCATCTCCGCTAACTGGAGCAACAACTTGTCGGTTCGTGTTTGCTGGAACGGCCACTTGGTTATTGACGTTGGTTGGTAGCATTTGCTGCAAGATATCCAATATAGTTTTTTAATACGCGTATTATGATACTTACTTCTAACAGTTGATAATACTCTGCAAAAAACGGTCTAAAATCTACCTGTTGAACTTCTGGTGGGACATTAGTCAAATCGAGACCCATGTATTCCTGAAGCGATGGATACAAGCTTGGAGTCCGATTGGTTGGGATGCTACCAGGAATTGGTGCCTGACCAGCAGGAAGAGCCTTTAAAATAGAAGAAAATGAATTTTTTTACTTTTATAACCTCAATTCCATACGAATTTTATACAGTCGTAGACCGGGAGTGTTAATAATTACATATACATATAGCGTTCCATAGGACTTATATACGTCTTTACACTTTTAAAATTAGCACCTCAAGTAAGCAACAGTAGGGTGTTTAAAACAGTATCGCAAAGGGTCATACCGTATAGCATACCCCACCCACAAGACATAAACCTTAATATATGACGTCATTAATAACGAGTTACATACTGTGACTGTACTGTACTGTACTGAATAAGGTTATTATTCAGTCAATTTACTGTACTACTGGTACAAGTGTCCATGCAGTATCTCATGTCTTTCGGAACCTTGCTCAAATCTAGTCACTCTAGTGTACCGCACATCTCGTAGCTACGCAATCCAAAATAACCAACACTATGTAATCACAGCAATAAAATGCTATTCCTAGGAAAAGGCAACGACTACTAGAAAGAGACTAGTCCTTGGAAAGGGTAATGGGATCAATGCTGATCCAAGTAATACAATAAAGCAAACTGTACAGTAAACAGCGAAGTAGCCTTCTAATGGAAGTTTTATCCACTAAAAAAATCGTCCCGTCTACACTTATGCCTTTGGTTACAGTTAAAAATTACAAGAAATCACTGATCAATAATTATTCTAGTAACCACTAAAGGGTTTCAGATGTGGGGTTTTAGTAATTAAGCACGACATGCACAATAACTTTAAAGGATCCAAGTTTTCGAGTCAATGTTGATTTCATATTCCCACGTCCTTTTAATGAGGCTTAAATAAATTCTAAAACAGTATTCTCTACAACTCACAAAATACAGTGTAAGGAGTCTACGCAACAGTAAAAATCACATTACAACTCTATACTTGATGATGAGATATCGTGAGAAGATCAACATCTTCTTCACTACTCCAATTAAGTGATTATTTCTATCAATAAAAAATGGTCAAAAAGCATACCGGAGGAGCTGGGGCCTGTTGAGCAGCGTTCACAGCAGCTTGAGCCTTTTAGTAAAGATGAGGAAACGAAAATAGATCAATAAAAAACGTAAGACTTGCATACGCTTGAAATACTATTCCAGATAATAAACATTTTTCTCTCAAGCATAACAAGTACCATTTTTCATTTACCTGGATCATTTGATCCACTTTCATATCTTCCAATGAAGGGTAAAGAGAAGACATTTTCAATACGAAATTAGTAAAGAAGCGGTAGAAGTTTTGATCAAGACAAAAAAAAGGCCAAATTATAAAAGCAGGTTCAGTGACGGAGTCGTTTTATACCTAGCCTTCGGTATCGTACGGTTTGTTTGCTCTTATTACAGCACAACAGACAAGAACACACATACACGCATTACTCACCATACAGTACACTATTGTTCCGATCCGCCTCACTATGTTTGGTCAATTTGGAAGTGGATCAGAAACAATGCTATTTTTAGTAACATTACGTCGTGTCATGCGCAATGTAAAGGTAATGTACAGTATTGACTGCCAGTTTACAGTGATACTCCGTACAGTACAGTACTTTCAACCGTATGAAAGGTTCGTACGGTATAGTGTGCTGTACTACACTCAATCAATAATACTGTATGGTATTACATTGTACTGTACAATCGAATAAATATGGCGTGCAGTCCAGTATCATACACAATACTCTAGTGGACTATTAAACAAGATTGCTGTTCACAGTACAATATACTGTACAGTGTACAGTACAGTACTACTAAATTGGAAGAGCTTGGATACGATAGTCTAGTGAGCATAGCTGCTTCGCTTTCAACTGCCATTTTGCGCATAGAGGTAAATGCAAAACATAAAATAGTGGCTGTTTCTTTTACCTCTATGCTTCCCGATAAGTAAAATTAGATCACAATCACCGTGCAGTGCAGTACAGTACTACAGTACGGTAAATAAATAAACGCCGATAGAGTTACGGGTGTGAATTTGGGTCCTCCAATCATATACGATAATAAATTGTCAACTTTCACGTAGAAATTGATGATGACGTAGTCTACTACAGTAGACATTTTTAAGTCTTCGTAGACCCCAAATAGAATATTGCCGATACTGTACTTTATTTAGCCAAAAGTTGTATTTCTATGTGTGGCATACTGTGCGGGCACATTTTACAGTAGAAATGCTGACCAGCAAGTTACAGTACCCTGTATAGCTGCTAATGCTGTGTACAGTCCAATTATCGAAAGAATCAAGTGAAAAATACGAAATAAAAATATGTGCAGTATTTTCTAAAGGAGAATTAATAAAAATTGTGCTGCTTACCTTTACAATTTATATGAGCAGGATACGTATGGATTGTATACAGTATTTACAAAATCACAACAATGGGCGGTTTTCTTCTCTTATTTTATATATCGAGAAGTCCCTGCGGTATATTGGCTCCCCATTGGTTTTATATCGCTTTAGCATGTACGTAGCCGCTACGTTCTTTGATTAATATATTTCGGCAAGGGATATTCAAATCCCATAAAACTAAACCTCATCATAGATACGGTACCTATGAGTATGCGAGTTGCAATCAACAGAAACTCTTAACCTTAACTAATGAATATAGAGATGTTGAGTTCATAAATTACGGCAGTGCAAATTCAGTAATACGACGAGTAGATCACTCTGCTGTATACACGAGTACGTTCTAGATGTTAATAATTTCTGAGCTTAATACCGCAATTACATCACTAGTAAATTAGAGATTAACTATTCAACTTCGATAGTTGCACTGCTCTATCTAGATAAAAAAGACTGCAAAATGTTTACTGCCGTGAATAACCACGAGATATTACAATGCAGATATTTTCATTGCATAATATACAAAATACAACAATTAATTAAAATTCTAAATTAATTTTAGATCTACAACGTTGCATAATATCTAGTAGTATCTCCACTTAATTAGAGCACTAGTAAAAGTATGCATTATGAACGTATACAGTAATTCCTCATTACTGCAAATATAATCTATATGACTAGATAATTTATAATCATTAGCACCATCATACAACCAACGACTACTACAAGAAAGATGCAACATAGGCTAAACTCGTTATATAGGATGATTCTTGAAACGATTCCATTTTTATAGATTTAAAAATAAACTCATTCGTCATCGAAAGCAATGTTTAGAAATGATTAGAATGATGTAAGGGTGTGCATATGACACACGTGAGAATATAATTTGTATAAATATAAAGCTGCCAACATACAGCCGAGATAGATATTATTACGGCTCCAAAATACTACCTACGTTTACGTAAATGTATAATACAAATAAAAACACTACAGGTAGTAGATATAATTCATGAATCAGATATTTTTGATTTTGTTACTACGAAATAGATTTCTGTATAACGGTATAATATCTTAGTCCATTTTTATCCATCCATATCTCGGTAAAAATAGCTAGATTATGAAGGACGTATAGTACAATATAGATGTGCAATTATGACGAATAAATCTTGTATTGTGTCCATAAGTGAGGAATAATAGATTTACTTCTGCTATGTATACTGAAATTACTAACGGTTGCTATAATATCAGAAAAATGCATGAAATTGATTAGAATAGGTAGATCAGTATGCCATAATTTATTTAATTATATGCAATAACCATATTGAAGCTATCACAACCCATGCTACGATTCTATAGGTTATATCTATTGTCCATACAAGTGTACGCACTTGCGGAGTTGTGATGCACGTTAACTGTAATAAAATTAAAATTCCTATACAGTATTATGAGTTTATGGCCCATTCTTTACATTAATATTAATCTATTACATCAACCGCGTAATTTTATATTTCTTTCATTAATTCATTTGTAGGCAATATAATTATCTGAATCTAAGGTATTATGTAGTAAGTAAAAACAAAGAACTATTGGCAACCAAATACGACCGTGCCTATTGTTACTAAACAAACGCAGCCATACTGTACAATAATACAATGCAATTCAAATAACGCGTAATATTAGGTTAGTAGTGATTGCATCTTGATGTGAACTAGACTTCAATTACTGCGATATTTATAACTTAGCTTCTCATTTTAATGTGTTAAATTAGTTGCAACAGAACAAAGTACTTCATAGCTAGAAGTTTATACTAATAAATACTAATAGATTATATATATTAGGACAAAAAAATATTTTTATCGCAGTTAAAGAATAGTATTTGGACAATCATGGTAGTCGATCCGCATAAACCTAAAGCAGGGGTAAGTTGAACTTAAATACGAATAGAATAATCGATATAGTAAAATCTTTCGTAAATATCTCTATTAAAGTAAACCACATAGTTTTAAATCAGGCTTACGTTGATAAATTTCTTTCTTATCGAAAGTAGCCCATGATTCTTTAAAGTATTAGTAACATCGATACAAGCTTCTTTTTCTTTTCTTTTACACATTTGGTGCGTTCAGTAACCATTAATAACTATAATCATCGTTACTCCCACTTGATCTTATAACTATAAGTTAGCCAACTAGTAACGTATATCAATGTCGTATGTAATAATTTAATGTACTCAGTACAATTTGATCACTTGGATTATTGTGTTACTACTTTCCTAAAGCCAAATAGCAATATCAGCTTTTAGGTTTTTTATTCGCCTGCTAGATATCTAGTGTTTATCTATCTTACAGCTATTCAGTTAAGCTACAGAAAAATCCCTTCCGATTCGATCTTTCCGTCACGTTCAAAAAGTTAATGCTTTAGCAATGTATAATACCAATACTCATTTAAAGATCGCACAGCTAATCTCATCAAGAGGGAAAAATTAAAAGGATCCCCAATCCAATTTTGATTCCGTCATCAATTTTCAAGATGGAAGAGAGAACGTATACGTTTACGAAAACGTCGACTGTTGATTATTTATTTGCCTTCATTTTTTCAGTATCAAGTCATTGTCCGTATGTGAAAAGACAGGCTATGGTCTATTCTTGTGCTTATGCTCCTATTCAATTTGAATTCTCACATGAACCAAAAATATAATGCTACAATTTTTGGTCTAGTATTAAGTAGTGATTAATAACTAAATCATTCGAATTTTTTACTAGAAGGTAAAATGTAATAAGATTTACTTTAATAATCGCTGATAAAATAAAATAGGATAGACCATATGTTGTCTTTTACTATGATGCTTGGAATATTAGTGAAGTAAACCTAGTTGACCACTTGTTGCTAGCATAGGTTTCTTGCATCATATACAGTAACGTATGTATCTATGAACAATATCAAAGCAAATCCCCAATGAATTCGATGTTTAATGAGTTAGCTCCCTAATGATTTAACCGATTAATTTTTTCAGCGTTCTCGTAAAATTAACTGAATCGCGTCTCATTTGAGATTTTCTAGAAGCGTGTTTTTTCTATTTTCATTCATTATTACGAACACGCAAACATGTTACTCTTATGACAATCAAACATAAGATGAGTATAGGTATACTTACAACCTGCTCTATAAATCAAATTGCTATAGTATTACCGTTTCACACATACACATTTGCTGCCGATTTCATTCTAGCCATTTTCCTATTTCTATACTGACGCACCATCTATATACGCGCATAATTTTTCTGGCTTAAGCCTTTGCAGAAATTATTGCAATTCGCTTGAAACAACTACGTCCAATTTATGAATATTCTGAGGTTTTATAATGAGAATTAAAAACTGATGATAATTGACGAATCAGAAAATCGATCTACCTCTTCTGAAAGATGTCGTATATCTACGGTGTATAGTAATATATATTGCGATAACAAAGCAAGCAGTAATTGCCTAGGATAAAGACAGTTTTTACTTGTTTTATACTTACGAATAATTGGGAAAATGTAAATAAAGTGATAGTCTGTAATCTATATTCTGTAAACTTACTCTTGCGCTTGATTCTTATTCTACAATAGGGAATTATAGTTGGAATTTCTCTAGCAATAGTAGCTAGCGTCGTCATAAGTATTGCCTTAAATTTGCAGGTAAGGTTTTAGCATGCCGTAATTGATGATAAAAGTATATCTAAGTACATCTATGTAATGTCTATTTTATGAAATATAAATATATCTGTGTATTGACCACAATTTATACCGATACCTTAGAGTTGACAAAAAATCAAATATCGAATTTGTCATAATCATCTTGAAAGTCTACTTAACTTTTTTACTATAAAATATCACGCTGGTGCTCACAAACGTTGAAGTTAATAAATATCAGATGTATTGAGCTGTATAGGTCCGTAGAAAGACATATCACACAATGATCACATAGATAATAGAAATGCACACTACCCTACTCTAAGTATCACCATCATTTAAGTATTTATACACTAGTCTTTGATTTTTATTATAACTAGTTGTATTTTAACTTTGCTGATTCTGCCATAAATACTAACCAAGTACTAAACTTATAATATATAGCAATAAATTTATTCTATACCACTATCGCCCTTTTGATAGAAATATGCTCACAACCGCTTAAAGGATTTCGAAGACCAAAATTACTTAAAGAGTAAGATATGGTGGTAAGTAATTCATCTAAATAAAAAAATAGTTGCAAATTTAGTAGTCAATCTACTACTTAATGAAATATCTTATCTCTTCATAAAATAGGCTCGGGATGATATTACTAGTTTCTGGTGAATTCGGAAATTTCATAGCTTACGGTTTTGCACCAGCGACTATTGTAGCACCACTAGGTGCTATGACTATAGTAGGTTAGTAAATACGTCAGACTTCCTAAGTTTGATCTTAGCAAATGATAACACTACAATCTTTATTGTCATTACATAGCAAATGTTGTCATTGCTCACGTTTTTCTGAAAGAATTGTTAAGAGTACGAGATTTATTCGGTAAGGCTAATACTTTTTTATAGCGTAATTCGTTACGTACGAGTAAATACTATAAGATTTATGGCATATTAAATGAACTTTGATTACAAATTCTATGGTAATACTAAGCGAACACTTACAATAATCTTTCACAAATTATTACCGATTAGCATGTTTGATATAGCCAAAATGTAGTCCTATGGTTTTAATCCATGACTGAGACATAGATCTAAATCAGAAACTAAACGTCGAAAACTGCATATTCTACAAGTCTTACTGATCTTCCTTTACTATAGCTTTAGATAAATTCCATTCCCGAGGCCAAGCTTTACATAAACTCCATTCTTAATACAAATTTTCATTAAATTCTAGTTATAATAAAATAAGCAGCGATATAGTTATTGATTTTGTGATCGAATCTTGAATAGAATCTAAATACAAATTATTCTATTTTTATAATTTCTGATACTATAATAGTCCGACTTTCCTCAAAATAAACAAGCTCATTTATAATCATAAAATACAGTAACGTACCCTCTTTAAGCCTATATCTTGCTACACGAAATAATCATGAATCCAATCTAGAGTATATCATACCCCCATTACACTGTATTTTAAGCTCCAAACCATCACCATCTTAGTTTCAGCCTTTTTTAGAGTCCTCTTTACTAATTCACTCGTTTTTTATCTATAGCTAATTATTTTTAAGTGTATTTCTATGCAACGTATATCAAAGCGCATTAACATATGATCCATATCGAGTTGACATTCTTTAACCGTAGTACTGGATATTTTTGTTGTTGCGGGATACAAGATAAACGCAAAGTATTTCAATTTTTATAGGTGCTGTTTATCATTTTTTGGCATATATATCATTTCTGGCGATCGGTCTAATGCAGATTCAAAGGAATATAGTAAAGTTGACAAAGATGGTTCAGACTCAGAAGAGCTACTGCTTGGTGAAAAGAAAAATGGAGATATTAAAAGTGTGTTCAATGAGATTTATCTAAAATTAACTATTATTTCTTGTACACTTCAAATAAAAAAACTATATACTGTGTCAAGTATACCATAATCTCATACAACCAATACTATTTCATTCCTAGCATCATTGTTTGAGTTATAAACTCAAATACATGCTATTTAGTAATGATTGAGCTTCTTTTTTTAATATAGAATATGTCGGAGGAGAAGTTTTAACATACTGTCAACCAGAAGTAGAAGAAGAAGAAGCAGGTATATTATCATGGAAGAATAGATCTTGCAGTAGATCTCAAATTTTGGGCTAATACGACTAATTTATATGCATCGCTTCAAATTTATATTATCAAAACAGATAAATTTATTCCCAAGTCTGATGTTCATAAGCCGCATCCAATACAGCCATATACAAAGCCATCATCATCTGCAGCAATTACGCGTGGAATCGTCCCTACAAAAGAAAAAAATTAAGCAATTACTCATTTCAGTCAATGTTCCACTTCACATTACTAGGGATAGACGCTGTATAGTATAATTGATGAAAATAATTAATTCAACTTGTTCAGTTTCTGTCAAAATATAATTAGCAGTTGCTGATAAAACTAAATTCTATCTGAAAGATTCGTATGGTAGCGAATGAATTGTTCAAAAAAAAGTATAAGGATCGTGATATCGTCTATTATGTTAACTGTTATAGCGATCACAAATGCTGCCAAAACAAAATAAGTCTAATATTCTGAATATGTAATGCCAATTTTATTTGTTTTCAGAGTATTTTATTTATTTTATTTATTGACTAAATTATATGCTCAGAGCTTTAAATAATAATTCTATTCGAGAATACGTATTTTATTTTTAGGCTATATGATAAAAGTTCTATACGGTTGAAATTAATATAGGCTAGAATAAGTTTGATGCCCAATAGACAATAATATCAAGCGAGCTTCTAAATAGCCATAATACGGGATATGCTTATAAGCGTATTTAGGTAGGATTGTATTCAAAATTTGTTATACCTATACATTTCTTTTAAACCACTTTAATAGGGTTAAATTTGCTAAGCTTATTTTATTCGATATTTCTGCAATGTATTGTAATTATTTTTATAAGTCAGATCAATCATATAAATATTACCTATATTGGTTATCTATCTATTTCAGTACTGGCAATAAACCATTCTCAAATAGCTCTGGCATGTCTCAGTTATTGCGAACATATTTACTACATGCATGTTAGTAGCAACTTTTAGTTTGTGGCAATTGTAAATCTTAAATGCACGTAACAGCATCCAATGCAAATGCAATGATGCTCGCTATGAACAATTTACACAACCTCATTCTACCTTCTTTAAGTGCAAATTTCTACATGAAACATACACATTAGGGTAGTTCGATACAGATTGATTTACTTAATACGATTTACTTTCAGCACTTGTTTCAAAAATAAAATTTCACTCAACTTTATGCCGTCCGTATGCGTGCGACGGTGCAATTGACTAAAACTCATTTCGGTTAAATACAATACTGTACTGTACGGTGATAGCGTGGTACTATGCGGTTGACTGACCGGCTGACACGCATAGCACGTGCGCGTGCTGACGTGATACGTTCGCGTCACTTACGTCTTTGTCTTAGTGGGTTGAAGTTTCAAATAAGTTTCAGCCTCCAAAAAACGCACATACTGTACGTAACACAGTACAGCACATGATACAAGTACTCTGTCTACTTTATATTGCTGAGAGTACACCCAATAATTCGAAGGTCATATCCGCAATGTGCGTCATACCTGTGTGACCTATATACGTACGTGCGTGCGAATGAATGAAAATTTGCAAAAATCCTCTTTGAATCTTCTAAGAAAAAATTTTCAAAGGAAACTTCTTGCTAGATTCAAGGTTAGTAATTACTACTAGTTTTTTTTAAGAGAAATTGTCTAGTGCTGTATGTGCGCTCATTGCAAAACGAAATTATATTAAAACATATCTTGGAAACTTTTTAAATAACCATACCGCAGCCTCAAATTGTATCTGTTTCTGTAGCTTCCGGAAAATGGCAGTTAATTTAGCCAGCAACGGCAAATGCGTATCGTTTAAGCAGGTAAGTTGCAAAATGTTACTACTGTTTGTAATACTCTTATTTTTGGCTATCAACTCACCGCTTTGAATACCAATTCTTTTTAAAACTTATTATGAATTTATTTAGCTTCTGCTTCAATTATCCCAATCTGTCGATGGCCACAAACATTTTCTTGCTTTAGCGAAATTGGCCAATAGAAACGGATTAAGTGATAATTTGTGGGAGGATTTGAATCAAGAAAATCGTTTTCACTGGATGTATACGTCCTGGAAAAAATCACTATGCTTTGTAAGAATTTAACCAAGACTACAGCCACAGGCTTTAACTAGTGTAAATAATGAACAATTATGTTCTGCCGAAACTTATAATGAATACGCGTATAGCTATTTATACAGTATTATGTCGGTATTTATATACTGTGACGGCTCATGAAATTTGTGGCAAGTAAATTTATGTCCCATTCTCAGATACATAAATATGCGGCATTACTGTAAATATATCTGTGCTGTAAGGTGGTCTTAGAAGTGCAACTTTTAATATACTAATTTATATTCGGAATCACAGTTTATAGAAAAAAACCTGGAAGATAGTGTCCGTCTGTGTATGATATTTATGAAGAAAGTTGTCAATATTCTATGCAGAAATGAAGACGCTATCAACAAATTATTTGAATGGGAAATTATAGTTGTTATACCAATCTTTATACGCATTAAAGCTAATGATTCAATTTTTGAAATCCATACGCTAACCTTAATATACGCATACGTATTTAGTAGAGTAAACAGAGTATCTATGGATAATTTTGATACTTAGCCAATTCTGTTTTAAAATTGATTACCTCCCCGTTGAAAGCAATGATAAATTATTGCTTTAGTCGTAACATATACATTCTTAGAACGGTAATAGTTGAGAAAAATTCCCTTTCATAAAATTTTGCACATAAAATATAGTAAATGGAACTAATAATATGATAAACTGAACTAATATAACAATTACTGTTAGTACTGTACTATAGCTTTTGAATGTTTGGCAGAAGTAATAGCGTATGAAAGCTAAATATTGGTTAACATTCCGCTGCGCACCATACTGTACTGTACCGTAATAATATGCTTACCGCCAATAGCTAATACCTTCGCCTTGCGATATTTCATCGATTCACATGACATGTAAAACTTTAAGATTTATATGACAATTGTGCATGGAATTCTCTTGCTTTCCATATCTTACATTAGTAAAGTAATTAGGACTGTACCGCAGCTACCAAACAGTCAAACAGGAAATTCGGAGGAAATATTACGTGAAACGCTGACTATTGTTGCGGTAAGTTTAGATATGTCTTGCTTTCTATAGTTGCCTAACTTATTTCAGTAATTCTAGTGGCTAACATTAGATACAATATTAAAGCAATAAATTAAGTAATACTATCTTTTCTACCTGTTGCATCCAGTATTCAACAATGAATCATTCTGAACGTAAGTATTATCTTGGTCAACAGTGTTGATACGCTGAGCAATATGGAAACACCCAACATTTATTTAACTTCTACTAATGATGTCATTTCAATGGTGTAATTTGAATTAATTGCATTATTGCTGTCTGCCTTGCAATATAATATACTTTCAGATAGAAAATCTGTTATTGTTTTAATACCCGATATTATTAAGGCCCTCTTTGCTGTCAACCTGAGTTTTAATTGTAAAGATCAGGTACTTTTTTAATCTTATACTGTATATCTTTATAGCTACTACTTGTATTTATTCAGACAGTATTCTTTATCAAATTACATGTACTAATTAATATACCTAAATATACCCATGTAAAGGATTATATTATTGGATGTATAGTAACATACTATATATACTATTTTGTTAAGGGTATGACACTTATTAGCATACTGCTGAACGACGTTCCCAGCTCAAGACTAAGCCATTTATGGAAACTAGTCAAATGTCACTTTACTAATTTGATATCATTTTTGAGCATGGCTGGTGATTATGAACTGCAAAGAGCAACCATAGACACATTATTTCACTTGACAAGAGTCCATGAACGCAAAGTCTTTGCAAAAAAAGTTTTCAAAAACTCTCCACAATTACTAACAAATTTTCTAGCAATGGACGAAAACCGTTTTGAAGCTGTAATGACTGTATACATAGAAGTATTTATAATCAGTAATCAATAATTCATAAAAGTATTTCTTGTTGTACTAGACATGTAGAAGTTTTCTGAACACTTTTAATTCTCAGGGTGATGTCTGCAAAAGGTTTGTCATATCTGTGTTTTATTTTGATTACTCATAATCCAATCTCAAAAGCATATCAAAAATTGTATTTCTTTTATGCATATGGTATGCCCCAGAGTTATATCGATTCCCTGTGAAAAAATAATGATTGGAAAGAAAGAGTTTAAGCCTATAGGTATGGAAGAAGATAACTCATGGGTTGACTTCAATAGTGGTAGCAGATCCATAAAGCTTTATCTTGATGCTTGTCAATTCGAGGTAGAAGTGTTCAAATTAGTACTACTTTTAATTTCGATGGTATAGTGATTATTTCTCAAAACAATTTTGGTATAGGAAACCGAAAGTGAGTGGGATGTCATTATTATTAAGGATCAAATTGTAAAAACCCATGTTATTAAAGAGGGTTAGTAATATGCTAAATAAAACTAATTGTTTTTATCTATCTTGAAGCTTTATTAGCAAGGTGTTAATACCACTTTAATAATGCTACAAATTTTATCTTAATATACTGTAGATATGGCTAATATTAAGGTTTTGGTTTTACATCTTCGCGTACCAATCAGTTCCCTATTACCACGATTTCCAAAGTCGACTAATAAAATTCTTGAAATTATATTTCAAGAAAAATATATCTGATTTTAACACTGCTCTATGCAGACTATAGTGTTACAGTTACGCATTGAATTAACCTTTCTCAAACCTTTATTGCTCAAGACTTCGTTAATTGAAACTATTAAGTCATCTTCTGATATATTTATATATATACTTGTCGTTGTTACCTTAACATAACCGACATAATATTGCAAGTGCTTGTACACATGTATTCCTTACATCGAGATGTTCATCCTTACGACAGAAAGATGTACGACATAATGTAGAAATCGTTCTCTCTAATATAAAATATTGTTTAGCAACGCTCCGTTTCCTAAATATATATACTACTCTTAATCACTTTAGGTATTGCAAAATTATCGCCCAAAGACATCAATAACGGAACGATCGTTACGATTGTCTAGTGTGAAAAGCGATCAGAAAATGGTACAACTATTAACACACTATCTAATAATTATTCTTTGATTATTCCTTGAATTAATTTCCAATGTCTACCTCACAGACAAATGAAAAACATAATATCAGTCGTAACGATCATAGAGTAGAATCTTTAGACAGCTCTTTAGATAATAAAGACTTCACTACATCAACAAGAAATTTCGAAATGAGCCTTGGAAAGTTAACAGATGAATGCGATCACGTTGTTCCTAAAGGTAAATGTTTCTATTCGGATGCATTTATTAGATACACACTGATGCATTGCTAAATATTATTACGTGGATTACAAATCATCAGAGACATATATCCTAATACAAGTACAGCAGAACATCTATAAGGGATCAGATGTTATTACATATTAATATTCTGCATATACGGTATAATTTATTATTCAATGTAAGATAACATTCTTTGGCATAAATTTTTCTTTAATTACAGAGACGTCATTGAAACCCGAATTAAACGAAAATAGGCTGGTAAATGTTGCATTTTCGGTTTAATTGGTTCTTGTCCGCTATACGCATTGTGTTTATTATATGATGATATGTCGATTGATTCTGCTATCTATGACTTAACAAACAGAACGACAAACCGGACTTACAGTTACCACTATCAATGTTACATGAAACTGATAAAAATATCGAGGAAATAGAACTTGATAATTGTCTCAATTCCGCTTTGTCCCTAAGTAGTAATAATACTAAGGACAGCAATATCATATTCACCGAGAGCTCAAATGAGACTTTGAGAAGCGAAAATCCTATTTCTAATAAGTCTTGGGAAAGTAGTAAAGTCTTTCAAGAAAATAGTGATGTAGTGCTGTCATCGCCACGCCTATTTTCAAACGATAATCAAATGTTAAGCAAAAATAATGGAAGAAACCGTGACGATAGTGATTCCGGACTTGGATTTTCACCAAAAAGAGTAAATATGGAATTGATGAGATCTTTTGAATCAGATCCTAAGGAAATTACACATACAATTGCAGAAGACTCAAGGAATTTTAGCAGCTCCAACACATCTGAGGAAATACAATCTTCTCAATTTAAGGATAGAAAATTAGATACATTCGAATGTAAAATCCAACAACATCCAACTACTTACAGCAACCTTGAAAGTTTAATGTTATCATTTAGAGAAAAATGCAAGGTTCAACAATAGAAAAGTATATTTTTTATTCTGAGGATTGTTATTGACTGTTTTTATTGTAATTATCAAAGGGTATAATAAATGACTCTACAGATATTGATGAAAAGGATGCACAACATTCGACAGAATTTCAAGACGCAAATAATAATGGCATCCAAGTTGATCATGTAAGCCATTTGTTGCAAAGTTGCTTTATTTAATACGAACTGATTAGAGTCAAAAACCCATAAGTAATTTTAGTGAAATGATGTAAATTTGCAATGACCATAGTGGGATATAAGGAACGATACGCAAAAAAGACAGGCAAATGAGACACGCAAATGTAATAGAAAAGTGATGACGCCTACTTGGGATAGTATGGATGTACCACAACAATCGGTGAGTAATAAGGCATTCAACAATTGGACAAGATTTTAGTTATAAAAACTTCTTTTGAAGTTTTATACGAGCGCGTGTCTCGTGCCCGAAGTGTTGTAATTTCTACACTTGCAGAGTATTGGATTACATCGACAAAAATGCATCTTTTATTCTACTTCAAATGATATTCAAGATGTGTTTATTATATGATAGTAATATCTATGCTAATTTTTGTTTGCTGGCTTACGATTTAACTGGCCTAAATTTACAGTAAAGTAGGATAAAAAATGATTGCTATTTTCTTTAGGCTAAGGTCGATGTATCTAAAGAAACCAATAAACATAAGAAGAGAAAAACCGGTACGAGCTGAAGCTAATAATGCATCTATTGTTATGCGTGTATTATGCACTATTGTAAAATTCTTAATTCTTAACTAGATCTTACTACTATTAGATGTTATTGGATTAGTAAATTGCTTCAAATCTCTGAATCTTTGAAAGTCTTTACTAATCAAAAATTTGCTTAAAGATGCGAGATCCGAGAAGAGGAATGATTCCATGAGTAATTGCTCAATTACGCGAAAAAAGTTAGTAATAACTTTCTACTCTTAAAAGACATAGAGATGATTGCAATTTTTTTCACAGTACCAAAAATTTTTTGAAGGAATGATGTCGGCGAATTCGCTAATAAATATCGAAAGGACACGAAGCCAGAGATAGTAAGAAAACATTTAGGTTGCAACTGTATGTTCAGTTTAAATCTAATTGCAGCCTTTCACATGATTTATCAATGGAATATTGCTGGATTCTTGGGTGAAAAATAGAAGCAACAACTAGTAGAAACCGTAACGTATCAAGCAACAGAACACCTTTTGGAAATATTCGATAGCCAAAAAGCTGAAAGGTACTAAAACTTTGCTTGCTACAAGATCGATCTAAGTGTAATCATGGCGTCCTTTTGATATAAAAAAGACGGCATTTAATAGACAATTGTAGCCAAAAGCTTGCAAGTTTAACTACCGATACCAAGGATACCAGTGTAATTGAGGCTGAACGTGATTTTTTGGTCAGTATTTTAGTGTACCTGACATCTACAAAACGTATGCATATTTTAAAAATAGTTTAAGACCTTATGATTTATATAGCAGCTATTGTCTGTGTATTGTCCATTTCACGTATTATAATTATTACTGTAGATGTAAAAATTTTAGAAATTAAGGAAATATTTGAGTTTACGCATTGACAGAATTTATAATAAAATAGATACCTTGATTTACTAGAAACTTACTTGCACTAACTAGCAAATTAGGGTTGGAATAAACAGAATAAATCATGTCCTTGGAAGACTAAGGTATTGCTAAGTTACATATTGCTTTTACAGGCTTCTTTCAAACATTTTGTGACCACTTCCCGATTATCTCGGGAACATAATCAAGAAAAGTACGTATACATGCATATCGCAGGATGTTCGTTTATAAACAGTGAACTTTAACTGCGACCGTGAACGATTTTTTTAAATCTCAGAATGGGTGACATAGTAGAGACATTTGACGAGTTTGATGAGCATTTCCATAAATTGGAAATCAAGCACCACCAGGATCAAGTAGGAGTTGATACCTTAGTTTGTTCAAATCCACCTTTTTCTGTCTTTGATATTACATTTCTTAACACACTTATACGCGCTAGTCATAACAAGAGATTTTATACTCGTAGGAGCTCATAGGTAACTCAATACGAGATCAATTGAAGAAGCTACATATGATAGCTCTTAAAGAAACGGTATGGAATACTAGCGAATTTATTAATATTTAATTAATTTATTGAAGTATGTTTCCGGAAGCATATTGTAACTCTCATGACTATTAAACTACAGCAACAGGACGAAATGCTTCTGGTTCGAAAGTCACTGTTATCGGCGATTGGATTAGGAGATAGTTCTAGTTAATCTATAGTTATCAGCCACAACTTTAGATTCACACTGTCAAGTCAAAGTCTTTAATTGACATTTAAATTTTACGTCGTTTATAATTCATGTTAAGACTAATCAGCTGTGCTGTCTTTGCAACAAAAAGGTCTATCTTACTTTTAAGATCCTGATATCATTGATCAAGTTATTAAAGTGCATTTATATGAAGTTTCATCTACACACATAATGATGATATATCTAATATGATACAGTTTTGAGAAGAATAATCCGTATAATATTTTCGTTAAATCTTTATGTAGTACCAATTGCTGATAGTTTTTGTAACAAGTTTAAAGCATACGAAGTAAAATTCAGCTTGGTTTTGGACATCCTGCAACTATTCTCTGTTTGTATTGTATTCCTAATAGTAGAGGAATAAAAATTAAAAATTATTTTAGCTCGAACATGCAAATAAACCTTTAATGTAGGACGAATTATTTTTATAAAATTAGATAAAATTAGAACAGTTGTTACCGTACCTAAGCCCTTCACAAATCCAACTAAATTTTTGTAGTTCTGACCGTGATCACAGTACGCACCAGCAATTTGTGAGATAGAAAATCCCTATTCACAGATGTATTCAAGATTAACAAGACGTAACCCGAAATTATTTAAGCTAGTCTTACTTTAGCAACACTTGTTGAGTTATCCATTTTATAGATCGCAATGTTGAGGGTGTCATTGTACTTGTGGACTTTCGTGCGATGTATTGCCTATATTGTCATAGGATAAATTTCCATATAACATTGATACATGCGATTTAAGTATTTGTTTATAATAAAGCATACAGTGTTGGTCAATGACGTTATGGTTTACGGTATTAAGGAACTATGAAGATCCTGATAGATTAACTATGATATCACAGAGCTATGAAATTGGTATTACCATGAGTGGCGCAAATAGAGTACAGGTATTAATCATACAATTGGTTTCCTACCTGTAGCAAATACTGGACATTTTCAGGATTCTTAAACGTTGTTAAATTGGATCCTTTAACGAATTTATAACGATGATCTGCTCCACCTGAAAATCAACATCAAAACTTCAGATAATTAAGCTATCAAGTGTCCACTATATTGTATGTATGCGTATGTTAATAAATCATAAGTTTCCTCACTGTAGTGGATACAAAATTTTATACGTTTTTAGCAATATATAGCTTTTAGAGATTACCTTTCATGAAATTTGTAACCATTAGTTGATAAATTTTATCTGCTGCGCTTTTACCAGGTGCTAGTGAGATAAGAAAGATAACAGACAATTTACGTAAGCATGCAATGCAATACTCTCATTTTGTAAATTGGAAATATTTAAAATTAATTATTTTCACTAGCAGCACAAATCCATCGTGTTGTAGACAACTGTCCTGATTCAGTGCATCTTTTTGACAATTTATCTTATTTTATTTAACATATTTGTATCATTGCCACTAGTACACACGGATCATTCCTCTTTTGACTCTTTCATCAAAGAGGTCCATATATAATTATACATATTTATCTCCCATGCAAGTTTTCTGATGATTCACTATAGATTATCGCGCTGAAAAATAGTTATATAATAATTATAACTCAATAAACTAGGAATAATCATCTCTTCTCACAATAAATCTAGTCTAAAAATTTATACACGTAGATACATAAATGTATTACAAGGACAGATTATTTATTATTTATGAATAAACCATGTATAAACTTACTGAATGACCACATTAGAGTGCAGCATGCGTTACCTGTAACGAAAAATTCAGATACGTTAGACGTTTTTCTTCATTTATGATGCAAAATTTTACGCTAAGTATATCATATCGGTATACTGTACAGTATGTATGTATGTACTATATTTACAGAGTGATGTCATGAACCACTAAAAGTAAAAGTGTTAGTGATTGATGGTAAAGTTGTAGATTGTATTTACAGTATTTACTGTAAGTACGTGTATACTATTTTAAGTCCAGTATATCCTGCTATTCGCATAGTTCGTTTGCGTTTTTGAATGATTGATCAACAATGCTGTAACTTGCAAAAGTTATGAAAGCAAATGAGGCACTACGTACAGTATTTATGCGTTTATATAATTATAAATAATCAAGCTACGACAGACTCAAGTTCGTATCATGCGATTAGAAAAACAATTAATTTAGGACAAGCTAATTTGGCGCTTGAATTATGCTCAAGTAAAGTGCTGTACAGCCTGTACTGTACTTACCACAGGTTCCACAGTCTACATTTTTGCAATCTGGTGGCTGACAACCAATTACAATCGCAATCAAGATAGATAAAAGAGCAAAATATCGAATTAGAGCCATTTTGTATAATTTTGAGAGTTGGGAACGGCTACTTCTCTAATTTTTGTGTTCTAATCGCCTTATAACGTTGAGCGTGATCAATCGTATCTGATGAGTCAACCACTTCTTAAACTACAGTACTTTACTCAAGTATCCCTTCATCAAATTCTTCTTTAGAACTCTGCTAAATATGCACTATTTACTTCATGTGCAGTGTCCTGCATTCAATACTATACAGTACAGTATTGCGTACATACTGTACGCAATACTTATATATTCCGTATACTGTACAGTATACGTATAAGTAAAACAGTAGTAAGAAACTTCTCCCATTGCTTAATGTAGAGTATTTAACATACGGAAATCTCGTGACTTTTCGACGACTCGTACTTGGCTCATTTATGGATTTCATCTTACTACTCTACTGTACAGTACTGTATCATGGACTATTTACAGTAGTCGGAGTGGGCTTACAGTACAGAACACTACTGTACTGTACTGTACTATGCACTGTACAGTCTACAGTACTGCACACTGTACAGGTACTGTACTGTACCGTATGTAGTCGATGACAGTGTACTGTACAGTACAGTACTGTACATACAGTGTCAAATATAGTACAGTATGTACAGTAATGTGGTGACTTTGTCATTTTTCCAGTTGCTCTACAGCATACTGTACTAGACAAAATCAACCATAGACTTGTAGTAGTCCATGAATCAGCCTGGCTGACTGGATATCAAGAGCGGATAGATAGTATACCGTTGCATATAGGCTGCATCTGATATGATCCCTTTTAGTACAGTAACCTCTGGTAGAATTAAGCATTAATATATGCTAAGTACAGTAGTTGAATAACTAGAAATCTCATAGCATGGTGTGGCTTGTGCGGGTTAAGCTACAGTATAGTAGTTAGCATGGACAAGGACTACTGTACTAAAAAGTTACTGAACCTCTGACAGGTCTATTGACAAATGGTAATACTATCTGTTAAATGAGCACATTATCGTAAACCGTCAGCAAAGCGACGGGAGTTTGCACTAGTACTGTAGAAAATATAGAAAATAATACGAGTACAGTACAGTACTGTACATTGGTAATTACCTTTTACCCTAATGAACTAAAAATGGTACCGTACTGTACTGTCAGGGACTGCTTGACTACTGTACACTGTACATTACAGTACCTTGGTCTTCTATAAATCGGATATACAGTACTAATCTAATAAATCTACAGTAAAAACTATACTCTACACTACTGTACTGTACTGTACTGTACACTGTACAGTACAAGTGTACAGTACACTAATAAGAGAATTTTTCTATACTGTACAGGTACAGTACTGTTAAAGCAAGCGGGCAGATATCCACATCAACACGCATGCCCATTATTCGAGACTACAGCACTCGCAGCAACCATCACTAAATTAATTTTAAAGATGGCGAATAAACGAACCTTATATGTTGGTAAGTTAATCGCTATTCTGTAACACTCTATCGTGAATATTGCTATGCATATATTGCATTAATTCACTCATGTTATGTTCATGTATAATGACTGGCTATACATATAGTGTCTGTAAACCTGATCTCTTTTTTTACTATGATGCTTGAAAATAAATCATGGTAGATGGTGATTGTCTACTTGCTTGTACAATATACTATAATTTACAATTATTAAAAATAATGTATTATCGCAGGTGGTTTGGCCGAGGAAGTAGATGAAAAAGTTTTACATTCTCTATTAATTCCTTTTGGAGATATTGTCGATGTTCAGATACCTATGGATTATACAACACGTAAGTTAGCAATCTCAGACATAATGCTTCGTATTATTTTCATGCAGAGGTAGACGATGTAGTTTTAATTTCTCCGCTTTTAAATAAACAATAACCAAAATTTCTGATTGGATTGTATAAATAATTAGAGAAGAACCGAGGATTTGGCTTTGTAGAGTTTGAGCAAGCTGAGGTAACACATAACGTTATGCGCATATCTACCGATTATTGCATTGTTACAAATAGTATGCTACTTGCCTAAACATCTGCATACTTTAGAAGTTTAAAAAGAGACTAAGAGAAACTGGTGTAAGAAATGCCTTGTTCTTAATTTCTTAGGAGGCCGCAGCTGCTATGGACAATATGGTCAGATTTCATTATAGAAATAGCATCTATTCATACGCTACGTAGTTAATTAGATCTAAAGGCTATCTCGATATATCAGGATGAAGCTGAATTGTATGGAAGAACGATACGTGTTAATATTGCAAAACCTATGAGGATCAAAGAAGGCTATAGCAGAGCAGGTAACATAAATCTATATAAATGGGCATAAATACGGAAATTTTTCAAGCTAAACTTTACCACAGTATAAATCATTTTACTAATTACTAGCCAAAATTTTGTTGTAATAGTTTGGAGTGAAGATTCTTGGTTGAAAGAACATGCAGGTATAGCAGTTGTAGCCCTATACTGTGATATCGATGAGAGACATAATATCATCTTTAAGTTAAACTATAAATTATCATTGACTTGCTTATCTAATAACTCGAAAGTCTGTACTAGGTTTATAACAATTATTTCTTTGCAAACGTTATGCAAAACGAATAATGACAAGGAATTATATTAACATGTCTCGATTATAGGTGAAACTTTATCCGATAATAAAGAAGATAATGAAGATCGGAAACGTAGCTTAGAGGCTTCTGATGATGTAAGATAGAAAAAATCTTAAAGTCTCTAAGCCAGCATGATTGTTATATTTTTAATTGGTCTATTAGTGTATACTTTGTACTTATATACCTATTGATGTATGTATGTATGTATTGCCGACGTACATAATCCAGTTGCTTAATTAGGTGAATAGTCTAATTTTAAATTAATCAATATCGAAATCTCTATCGATGCTATTATTACATGGTAAAATTATTATCTAGACTGCTGAAGAGACTGATGCTAAGCGTCGATCAAACCCTCGTGTATACTTTGATATCAAAGTAGGTAGCAAGGCCTGCGGAAAAATTATTATGGAGGTACCTTCGTAATATTTATTTTGTCACTTAAAAGCAACCGTGAATTTAATTAGTTATTCTAATATTAATTATCAATTTATTTCGATAGTTATATTACGACGTAGTTCCGAAAACTGCTGGTAATGTCCTTCGGAATACCCCTTCAAATAATTTTTCATTTTTACGTTTACAATTAATAATTGATGGAGTAGAAATCATCTCAAAAATCCGGTTTCGATAATGTTTAATTTAGTGTACGCTTATTAGAAAATTTTAGAGCCCTATGTACCCATGAAAAGGGATTTGGATACAAAGGAAGTAAATTTCATAGAATCATTCCACAATTCGTATCCTTATACAAACTTAATATCCTTCGGTTATCATGATTACCCTTTTCAATACTACTATGTTATGACATTCTTAATCGATATAACATCAAGATGTGCCAAGGTGGCGATTTTACGAACCATAATGGCACAGGAGGTATTGATCCCATAAATTGAAGATAAACGCTGTATTTGATAGGGATGTTCAATCTGGGACTGATTTTATTTTTCTAGGTAAATCGATATATGGTGCAAAATTTGCTGATGAAAATTTTACATTGCGTCACGATGGACCGGGTAATGACTTCAACATTAGAAATAGACTAAAGATAGTCATTTGTTCATGATTTTAAAGATCTTAAAAGGTGAAATCCCATGACCACTTACTGTAAAATTAATATAGGTACGTTGTCTATGGCAAATAGTGGCCCGCATACCAATGGATCACAATTTTTTATTTGTACCGCCAAAACTGATTGGTAAAATGACTAGCATCTCAAACTTTGACCGATCGAGCCATCTATTATAATCATACAGTATTATCTTATCAATGTCTATATGATTGCATTCTTAATTCTTCGCAGGCTAGACGATAAACATGTTGTATTTGGCAAAGTTATTGAGGGGATGAATATTGTACGTCAAATGGAGGTGAGAAAGAAATTGGACTACTTTTGCTTTGTTTGGATGGAGAAATGTAATTAATTTTTTTTTTTATTTCTATTTGTTAAGAACGTTGGTTCAACATCTGGTAAAACTAGTCAAAGAGTAGTCATTGCAGACTGCGGTGAACTGTAAGAATGTAATATTTGGTATACAAAATTGGCCTATCTATGTTCCATTGTATACTCTGTCACGAGTATCTGCAACGCACGAATCTTCACGGCTTTTCTGTAATTTTTCAATGATCTGACTGCTGTACCACTCCTTGTAGTATTTTGTCGAAATCTGTAAATGTCTTACACTGTACGCGGTATGAAGTAGCCCATGTTTTCATAGTAACTAATTTAAATATTTTATACACGCAACAATCGTAATCTAATGATAGATTGTTATTAGTTGAGCCATAACTTAAATTTAAAGGCTTCGAAAACAATTTAGTAAAATATTCTCGAGCTGCTACAGTTGTATGTCATTTACTTACTGAAAAATTTTATTGTTCTATATCTTTACTACTTTCAATAAACATATCCAACATTGATCTTTCATGACAACTATGTTAATTTATTCCATTTCTAATCCAAAATATTGACACTTAATTTTTGTATGACATGATATCTACTCCCTTTATAGGAATAGTAGTGCTAGGCAACTCATTTGCACAGCAGCATAGCTATCATAAACGAGTATTGGTAGTGCTATGAGACAAGTTATACAGTTTTATCATCATTCTATACAATTAACTACTATTATTTTAATGACTGTAGAATTACTTATTTGTTGTTAATATTACTATTAGTAAATGAAAAAGTCAACTGCCAAAAAAATGTATACATGTATTTATATTCATTCGTCTATAAGATCATTAAACATCTATTTTACGGCAGCAGTGATATTATTATTTCGTACTGTATATTTGGAAACTAGTAATTAAACTTATCAGATTGTTGGTTAAGCGTTTTCTTCAGTCTCATATGTAATCTTAATCACCTAAAGGTGAGATGTTGGTACATTGTTTTAGCTATTAAAACTACGTTCTGTACATTTAGATAACGTATCATTTAAGATGAATCAAATATACACGATCGATGAAGTTTTGCCTTAGCTGATGTATCAACAGAACTGACAGATTCATCTTGCCAAGTGTTTATTCCTTTCTTGCGATGATTATCAACATCAGTAAAATGAGACATTACTCTTCTGTAAGATGAATCATTCTCAGCTTTTCCTTGGGTTTCAGCCTATTGGAATGACAATCAGAAATGATAGTAATATTTAAGAAAACTAATCGTTAATACACTATAAGCAATCCCATTATGATTTGAAAGCTTTATCACCTTTGGCTTCGATTCTATGGAACGAGCGAAATCTTTTGTATAAGTTGTTTCAAGATATCTGCGATAATTGTAAAGAATGAATTTATTATATAAAGGAGAGAGGACGAAATGTTATTTAGTAAGGCCATAGAATAGCCGTTTACATGACTGGAATCGGTGAATAATCCTAGTGAGTTAGTTAGTAATAGCTATCTTATATCACAAACGACTCCATTACCATGAATGAAAGCTAAATACCTTTTGCCATGCTCTTTGCCGTGTTGTGGTAGTACATTTTTGTAGTTAGCGAGAAAAGTTTCATTATTTCTACAAATGTAGTGCAAAAAGGAATATACTAATTTATAGCTGGCATTCGAAATAAATCTCTCTCTTGCTATATCGGTATATTGACGATTATACACTGCTACTTTCAGCTTTTTAGAGTAGTAGATTAAATTACTATAAGAAAGATTTCAATTTTAATATTTCTACATTTGTTAGAAATACTCGAATTTTTGTTATAGCTACAATATTGCTTCCCGTATTTAAATTGAATGTACAAGAGCAGCAGGGACTTCTCAATGATAAATTTGATACTAATAAAAATCGTATTTNTGCGAAATTTATCATTGAGAAGTCCCTGTTGATAGAGTCTAATCTTAGTAGTAGATACATTACAACTAGGCAGCTAAAATTTCGTCACGAAGATAGTAGCTCTGGGTGTAATTCTCGCTAAGTTGCAAACCAAAACAATAAATCTGCTTCGCTGGGCATAATTTGCGATCAAACTGTAGCTAAGAATATTATTTATAAGTATAATACAAATATCCGCTACTAGAGTTTTTACGATTAAACTTTCATGCCGCAACAATTACTAGCAACCAAATATTGTAGTGTGATAAACGAGTTGTCGATATTTACTACAGATACACATATACTAATGATATAAGCTCACTAATTAAATAAGGGAAGAAATTCCTACACATTAAAACGATAACTATTATAATAAACAGATAATTATGCATATATATCTATAGCATGAGTGCAAAACAGAGCTAGTATCTCTGCATTATTAATATAGAAATGTAATTAGCACCAGAATGAACAACATTTTATTATTAATTTCATGATTAAATATAATAATTATAATTTTGATAACTTTTACGTTATTCCTTGTATATATGTGATTTAAGATATTAAAAAGCTATTACTGAAATTGAATACAATTATTATTAAAGAAATCATATAGGTAATAATAGGAGTATAACTGTTAAAGGATTTAAAACAGAATCAAAATATTTTAACACTGCTAATTTTCATACTATTTTACTAAATATAGGACAACTGGCATTCGCCATACAATACTTCACCACTACTAGAAACGACGTTTCTTAATTCTTGAGTTCTACGAGGTTAAAAAATAAAATAAATGCATTGCTCGTAAAAATTCATAAATCATAACATTTAATATGATTAAAACCATTCATTGGATATGTTACATATCTAGCAAGTATTTTACTTACTGATCGACTAAAATTATACTCTTTATGCAGCCTTCAAAATTATTTCGAGTGGCGATAGGTTGATTATAGTTTGCTGGGATACCTCCAACATAAAAGTGGCCCGTTCTTGCAAACGAAAAAGATTCCGTAGTAGTGTTGATACCAAGTTCATTCGTAATTAATGGCGCTTGTTTATCTATGATGACACTGAATCTAAATATGCATGAAAGTATGTAACATACAGAGAAATATAAGTATTTAATAATTTCATCATAAATAGCAGTTATGCAGAAATAGTGACTTATTACTGAGCTATAACTTATCATAGTCATTATTAACAGAATCATACGTGCTCGAACATTTTTTAAGAGTATATATTATATTTTAGGTACTCGAAAAAACTTATGCCTTGACTGAATCTTTTAACACATAGTTCACCTTCTATTATTTTTAACAACTTGAACAAAATGCCACATGCTATCATTTAATTGCAGCTGTGAGGAAACAGAAACCTGAACACCATCAAATCTAAATTCTGCTTGCAGACGACCACTTAATAACGTGAAAACAAAGCGTCTCTAATGAAAAAATAAAAATATTTACGGATCATAACTGATCAGTATCTTAAGACTGAAAGTAATTAATGGATCTGTAAACGTATGTATAATTTATCACCATTGCATTTCCATTTGATCCTGTCATTATTACTTGATTACTACTACTAGTGCGAAAGGCAAAAGCCATTTTACTAGCTTCACTAATGTTAGGATAAACCACCATGCCGCTACCATTAAAAGATATTTGATAAGAGGATATCTATAAAACAAAAGAATACGAAAACTAAATCATTTTTAATTTTTATAATAGAGTAAAAACTTTTAAAAGAAAATCTGATAAGCTATTAAGCATATTAAATAGGTTACAGTATATCGAAGTCTTATCATCTCTGGTATCAATAAGCGCTGTCAATATCGAAAATACAAGCTAAAAATTGCAGTATATTTAGCATATCTATTAACCCAATAGACAAATATAATACCAAATTTTATAAGTACTGTAACGAGGTCGGTGATGCATTAGATCATAAATGTTAGTGATTACAACTGAAAATTAACTATTAAATATTAGCATATAGTACCGCGACATTTGGGCATCCATCAAGTATGTTATATCTTGCTCGAATAAGTATACTTTGACCACGGAAGGTCGGATTGGTAATACATCCAATATAGCCAGTTCTAGTCAGTCCCTGACTATAAGTAAAATAAATAATATCATGGATTCGTTGAGCTATTATAAGAGGGAAAGATATTGATAATCGTGATACAGGTGAATAGGCGTATCAAAGAGCAAATAAAACGAATTTATTTGGCTGTAATTACATAATATCCTAAATTTTCTGAACAATTTTTAGCTACAATAAAATTATTAGAGTGATCTTTAATAATATCAGAATTTGCATTTATTAAATTGAAAATAATGCAACTTACGGTATGGTATCAGAAATTTGAATTCCACCTAAATAGAATATAGTACTTGGCCAAGTACCTACGCTAGAGGGAAAACCGCTGATATCTCCGGCGTTAATAGTTTCTAAGTTCCTATTGTTGCTCCCATCAATAATATTAATACGAAATTCTCGATTATTTACTGTCGATGTGAAGAAGCTAAGTCGAACAGAATACGATTTCCCAGTGTTATACATCGCAGATGATTGGATAAGGCTTTTAACATTGTCAACTTTAACTGTACCAATAATGTGACCTTGCTTAATTTCGAGAGCCATGTAACTATGATCAGCCAACTAGAAATTAGTGACAGTGATTAGATCCTAACCATATTGAAGGAGCTGTAATATTATACGAGTTTGCATAATAATACAAACATGGTACATCAATACTGAGGTTATACATTCATTTATAAAAATTACCGCTTGACTGCTTCTATTGCTATAACGGGGTAAATAAAATAGCAAAGCATCTGACTCAAATGTTCTAATTCCAAATTCACATATAAAGTCCGTAGGATTGAAGGAATCACCAACATAGGAATAAATATATCCATCGCCATCGAAATTATATGTAGACGCTTGGCTACTAAGTCGAAAGTAAGGTCTGCATAAAGAAATTAACATCAATAAAAGAAATCAATTTCTTATACTCCTTTTTGTAGTTTATTAAATTAAATACGTATTTAAAATATCATTCGTATAACACGAATATTATTAATAATTATTAATTACCAATTTATGGGACAGACTCAGACTAGTTACACCCAAATTCATTGCTAACCTGTAGCTTCCAGAGCAAACTTGACATTGTCCACTACTATTTTTATATGTCCATAAGGGAATTAATCGGTCATTATATCGTAATTCACCAATGCATCCCCAAAACTGTCTTTGCTGTATTTCTGAAGATAACTATAAAATTTAGAATAAAAGTTATAAATTTTCAATTTATTATCGAATATAGGTTTTTCGTTATCTTCTGGATAAAATATACTATTCGTAACTGACTGACTTGTAAACAAAATTATTTATCATACTATGAATCAGCAATATAAAGAATAATTTATTTATATTTTAGTTCAG